GTGGGAGGGGAAGGGGAAAGGGAAGAAGGGAAAGAGAAAATTATGAGAAAAGAAAAAAATGGAAACAAAATCTATGTAAATAGGGAAGGGTGGAGGGGGTGAGGGGCACACAGGTAATGGGGAAAAAATAAGAACCAAGATACATCATATACAGGTACAAGCACCCAATGATAAATGTAAACATATTGTATACCTAAAATGTATCAATAAAAGAATTTTTTTAAAAATTTAAAAAAGAGGTACAAGAAAGACTAAAGGGTTTTTCCTTCCCGCTCTGGTCCCTGCTTAACCCTGGCTGAGAATAGACAGTGCCCTTCTCAGGGAGATGCACTACAGCCTAGGCCTAGCTTCTTGTCCTTTGTCATTCTTGTCATCGCCTGCCAAGCCCTCTCTTATCAACTGGACTCTGGCTGAATGCCAAGGAGGAGGCTGTCTTAAAACAAAGCCTAAATGCAGGAGCTCACAGTGTGACTTGGTGATGAAGCCCCTAACTAGGCTGCAGGTCAGTCAGCTGGAATGTGAGAGTACTCCAGCAGCAGCAAGCCTCAGCCTCTTGTATCTGACCAGACAACTGAAACAGGTGAGGTACAGGAGACATCTTGACAGGAAACCGATATGGGCAATGCAGGGGCAACATAGGGATGGATAGTTGGCCTGACACTCAGTAAAAGCCTTCCCTGATCCCCTCTCTTCAACAAGTAGTAGTAATTAAGAAAGGGCCAGGGCCGGGGATTTAGCTCAGTGGTTTTGTCGCCTGCTACGCCAGTGCAAGGACCCGAGTTTGATCCCCGGTACCAAAAAAAAAAAAAGGGCCAAATTTGAATAATAATTCTCATCCTGGGCTAGGGATGTAGCTCAGTGGCACTGCACCTGCCTGGCAGGCACAAGGTCCTGATTTCGATCCCCGGTTCCCCCCCACCGCCCAAAAAAAAAAAAAAAAAATCTCGTTCCTGGACTCCAAATAAATGGCTATGTCCTGGGAGTAAAGAACGCCTACACACTCTCAGATGGATACATTTCACAGCCTTGCAGAGACATTTCTCCTCTGACTCTGACCCCTATCTTACCTTCCAGGCTCCCTGCCTGAGCCAAACATCAGCCCCTATGAAGGCATCTAAAGTGCAGGTGGGATTGGCAGCAAAAGCCTAAGGAAAAAACGAGTCATAATGCCTCTTCTGTTCGTGAGCTCAGCGGGGTGGGAGCCCAGTCCAGGGAAGCCTCACCTCTCATCTCACCTCCATCAGCATCTGGCAAACCCTGGTCCTGGCAGGCATAGGGAATGTCTGGGTCCTGGGGCCTGGACACCCCCCGCCCCGGTTTTGTCACTCCTCCTCCTCTGCCTGCTTTCTAAGTGTGGTGAGCAGAGTTGAGCTTGCATCCCTGTGCCCCCAAGTCACGTGGCACGGTCACTGCTTGGAGCACATGGGCAGTACCTGCTTCTTCCTCCCTGACCCTGTGCACAGCACCCTTGTCACTATTCTTCAGAGTAGTTCACAAGGAGGGAGGACATGAAGCTTAAGAGGTCATCTGTCCCTGTCCCAAACTAATAAAGAGGACCTTGCCTGTGGGCTGCCTCCTCACCCTCACAGATACTCCTAGCAGACCAGCTGCAGGTCCCAAACCTGTGGCTGTACAACACAGCCAGCTCCACACCTGAAAAGCCTGACTCTGCCAGCAGCCTGAGTCTAACTGGTTTGATGAGCACTCTGGGTGGACCCTGTCCCGATGGAGTGGAGGCCACTCTATCTTCAGAGCCAGTGAGGCCCCTGAACTCTGGGGCCATCTTCTCCTCACCCCATCCTCTGCTGGGTGGTGCTCTCCAATGGACCAGCCCCTACTGGGTACTAGGGCCTTGGGGTGAGTGATCAGTAGTCAGTGCTCTTCTCTATAGGAAGCAAGACCCACAACCTAAATTCCAGGTGGGCCAGCAGGGACTTTTCCATCTGACGCCCGGCCACAGCCAGATCCTGATAGTGGCCCAGGCCAGTCCTGTGCCGTGGTGGGAACTGAGGAATCTCAGGTTTTGGAACATGGCTTAACCACCTATGGGTACCACACTGTGCTCAGGTGGAGCAGGAGGAGGAGGGTGAGGAGCGGTGCTTGGCTGTGAGGCCCAATGCCTTCCTAATTTGCTTTCCTGTGTCCGAAGAGTGAGGGAGACCCACCTTGGGCTTCATGACTGGGCAAATGAACCTCCATGCACTTACTGTACCCAGTCTTCACAGGCTGGATGAGAACCCACCTGCTGTCAGTATCCCCAAAGCTTCCAGACTTAGTGTGGACTGCATTGGTTTCACCAGCAGACAGACTGGAAGGGCTCCAGGCCTGGAGCACACAGTTCTTGGCTTCTTGGTGTAAAGCTGATCTTGCTCTCGCCCTGAAGCCTGTGATTGTGCACCCTTCACCCCCTTCACCCCACACCAGCAGCTTCTCCTCTAGTGGGTACACTCGTCCCAGGCAGCTTTTCTGCCTTCATGGTGCTAGGAGTCCTGTGTGGGAAACCAGAGAGCAAAGGTGATTGGGTCTCGTATGGTGTTTGTTGCTCAGATGCACAAATCGTGGGCAGCTCATTGAAAGAATGGGAGCAGGACTCTGGTCCCACCGTAAGAATACTGGCAACAAGAGCGCTGCCACGGCACCAGGGGTGCAACTTAGTGGCAGAGAGCTTGCCTAGTATACATGAGGACTGGGCTCCATTGAGAGGGAGATCTGTTCTTTCTTAGGCTTTGGGGTTGTAACAAAGGTCTCAGCCCTATGAGCTGGGTTCCATCCTGACTGTGTCCACCAGGCCCAGGTCGTAAGTGACAAGTTCTGTCACAGTTTACCCTCCTGACTGGCTTGATGCATTCTTAGACAATTCCAGGTGATATGCTCAGGAAGGGACACCTTAAGGACATTCACACAACCATCTGTCAAGGGGAATAGGACCAGACAGAGCCTCTCAACTCCAGAGATGTTGATCTAAGCCAAAAATGAACTCAGTGTTTTGGAGGCTCAGAACTTGTTTTAATTCAGGAACTTTTGGTGGGTCTTCATGTCTGTGAGTTAGAACTAGAGGCCTCCATAACCCATGCCCCAACATTGGCCCCTACCTGCTACCACAGCCAGACAAGTCTTCCCACCAGCAGCAACCCGACTCCTCCCTTCCTTAGTGCCCAGGATTTCCACAGCACTGGTCAGTACACAGAACTGCCTCTGACTTGTTCATGTGTGTCTGTTCTTTTTTGAGACAGGATCTCGCTATGTAGTTCAGGCTGGCCTTGAATTTGCAGCAATCCTCCTGCCTCAGCCTCCTGAGTGCTGGGATCACAGGCATGCACCACCACACCTGGCTTGTTAGTCTGTTATCAACTGGACTTCAGGCTCTCTGTGGACAGGAACTTTGTCTTGTGTATGTAACCTTCTAATTAGGCAGCATGACATGTAGTAAGTCCATGTCACCTGATGGGAATCAGCAAATTCTTCCTTAATTTCCTTGATGTGCTGCTTCCCCGCAAAACAAGAGGAGACAACAGCAGAGGACTAATACAAAGAGCCTGGGTTTATTGTTGAAGGGAAACATGAAGGTGAACTGCTGGGACAGTAAGTTCCTGACAAGAGGGCAATGAACTTCCCTACACTTACCGCATCAAATGCCGATAGCCTGCACGAGGATATCCACATGCTGTTGGTGGCACTGAAGCCTCCCAGCCTAGTGTGTACTGCAGAGGTTTCATCAGGCTCTGACAGCAGACACCCTGGGCCGGTGGGAGGTGCTCCTTGGGTGACTCTAGAGGTTAGTGACGTGATGCGCCTCATTTCCACGTGAGCTGGGGCCCTCTCCTGCTGTGCAGGTTTCTGTCCCCTTCCTTTGAATGCCAGCTGACCTGGGGGCCCAGGTGGGCTAACAGAGCCAGATCTTTCCTTTGGCACACCTGTCACTGTGTGGAGGGGCCATGACCTTCTCTATAGTCCTGTGTCTTTGTGTTCCAGCCGGCTGGCCTGTGTCCTGCCCTAGCTGTGGCTGCTACCTGGGGGTACCCTGCGGAGTGCTGGGGCTGGAGTGTAGCACGATTGGTCCTGAAGATGTCAGACTTTGAGTCAGGGACTCATCCAGTTTTCGGGTCTCAGCCTCCAGGACAGTGGCCTCAGGGGCCTGGGCCACTGTGAGAAGGGAGTGGGACAGGCTGTGGTGCAGGCCTGCTAGCTCCCGGCTGGTCTGCACTGAGCGAGCGATGTAGTCTTTCCTCTGCTTTCGCTCCAAGGCCAGCTGGGCCCGCAGCAGGGCCACCTGTTGAGCAGGAAAAACAAGAAAAAGAGCAGTTGATGGTCCCGAAGCTGTCCCAACTCTTCTGCTCTCTGCTCCTGTGGCTCTTGCCCAACCTTGGAATGAACTCTATCACATACATGAACCTCAGAATCAGGCTTTAGGGGGTTGTGGGAAGGACCCTGAGGACTCATGGAAAATTCAGTGATTTAGAAGCTTGGCTTCACAAGTGACACAAACAGGGAGCTTCAAAACAAAACTGCTCATCAATTTTATTAAAGGATCAGTTTCATGCAATAAAATGCCCAGGTTTTAAGTGTATATTCTGTCTGAGAATGGATATATATCCATGTATAATCACTATCCTAACCATGATATGGAACATTTTAATCACTGCAGAAAGTTCCATCATGCTTCTTTTGCAAGATTTAAAAAAAATATTTTGACTTGGGCCAGGGATGTAGCTCAGTGGTGCCATGCCTGCCTGGCAAGTGCAAGGTCCTGCGTTCAATTCCTGGTACCAAATAAATATATATATAGACTTAATCAGATTGGAGTGAGCCCTGGATAGCAATATTTTTTCAAAGGTCCCTAGGCGTTTCTAATGAGCAGCAGGTTAAGACTCCCTGACTAATCCTTCTGTTTTCCAGATGGGTAAAATGAGATGAGCAGGAGGGAAGCTGCTGGATCTTAGGACAGTCCAGGACTAGGGGGAGGCAAGAGGCATCTAGGGTGGAGATCTAAGGAGGCACTGGTCAGAACAAGTGCTTCTAATTCCATACCCCAGAGCCTCTCTTGCTCATCTGTCAGGACCACACCTAGAACTGCCCCATAAGAGCAAAACAGAATTCAAAGTAACAGTGGAGTCTAGCTATAGAGTCAGGCTCTGCCTGTAGTGACTAATGATTTCTGAAACAGGCTCAGAAATAAAAATTCCACACTTCTTCTTATTCCTGGGCATTGAGAGAAAAACTGGAGATGAGACCTGCAAGGCAAGAAGGCACTAGATGTAGTTTCCCTAGTGTAGCAGCTCAACCTGAGCGATGTGTAGGTGCCTCTGCCTGGTGGCTGGCGAGTCCTGCTTGCAAGGGCACAGCTACAGGCAGAGGAGGCCAGCATGCTTCTACTTGCTCTAGTGTTTCCTAGAATCTTGTCTGCTCCTCTGCCCTCTTTCTTCCCCTTCCTGAGCAGGAATCTGGATCATCCTTTTTGCCCACACCTGCTGTAGACATGCTCCAGGAAGAGTTGGGATTGTAGCCCTTCTTGCCTCCTGTGGAGCTTGAAGTTCTCTGAAGGCTGGAGGTACTTGCCCTCTCCCTGTGGGAGGTGTACAAAGGGCCAAACACACAGCAGAGCCTGAAGTCTGAGTGCAAGGGAGGGAAAGGGGCTTAGAAAATAGGTCCTTCCAGAACATACCTCTTTCTGCAGTTCAGTCATATGCTTGGTGTCTGAGGAGCCGCTCTGTCCTCCTTGTCCATTCTAAGGAAAACAAATACCAATCTTGCTGGAATGGGTAGTCATGCTCAGGGGACACTACAGAATCCTTCAGCTGTCTCCTCAGAGTCCTGGAGGCCTGGGCAAGGACTGTGGGCCATAAGTGCCTGAACTCAGACTGAACCTTTATGGGGCATGGTCTCAGGGCAAGGAGAGGCCCAGGAGGGTCCACAACAGCATAATGGGTGCCACCATGGAGACCTAATGTTGAACATCCAAAAGGCCTGGACAGCATTTGCTTCTCTGAGGTACTTTTATATTTTACAGAAGTAGGCCATGTATCTGCTTTGTGCCAGCCCTAGTCTGAGCTGAGGATGCAGAGGGGAAGAAAGACATGGCTCCTGCCCTTGGGACACTTCAATTAAAGGAAGGGGGATGGAGAGCTGGAGATGCTCAGCTATCAGAAGGAGTACCTCCCCGCAGGACTGCAAGGCTGGGTCCACTGATGGGCATTTTTCAGCTGAAAGAGTGATAGTGTAGGGGGGTCTTCCCCAGGGACCTTACCTGGAAAAGGGACTCTGTTCCCAGGAAACACTATGAACTGCAATCTTATAAACTTAGTACTATAAGAATGTCTAAGAAATCTGCAAAGCCATGATTGAGCTCCTAGGCACATCAAGAGCTGGTAAGCATCACGTGACACTCCATATGCCAGGGATTTTGTCCAGAGCCCAGTGAGCCCTGCTCCTGGGTGAGCTTGAGGCTTGGGAGCTCCTAGAATACAAATCTGGTAGCCTTGACTCCACCCCACCAACTGCCCTTGGGCCTGCTTCTCAGGGCAAGGCCAGCCTGAGCTGTGCTAAGTGGGGCAGATTCCAGTGAGGCAGGGCTCTCTGGACTGGCTGGAGTGGCTGGCTCACTGTCTAAGGGTGACCTAGGATATCTAAGGCAGAGGGCTGGAATGCAGGTGGGGAAAAGAGATAAACCTCCTGTGTGGGTGAAGAGGCCATGGCTTCACTGACCTCTAGGGCCTCTGCCTGGGATGTGTGCATGGAATTTCTCTTCAGTTTCCTCCGCTCTCGTTCCACCTGCCAAGACACAAGTGAAAGCCAGGTCTTGGTGTGGAGCCAGTGGAAGCTCATGGGTGGGACAAAGGGTCAGCGAGATGCAGGTGTTGGGGAAAGCAGTGTAGGCAGCCTGAGTGCAAAGAAGTGCCTGGGGCTGCCTCCAGGGTCAGCAAGCTTTTTCTTTCTTTTTGTTTTCTTTTGCGGGGGGGGGGGGGGGGGGGGTTACCGGGGATTGAACTTGGGACCTTGCACTTTCGAGGCAGACGGCAGAACCACTGAGCTAAATCCCCGGCCCAGCAAGCTTTTTCTTTAGTAAATACTTTAGGCTTTCTGAGCCATTCCAGCTCTCTGTCACCACTATTCAGCTCCACTGTTGTGGTGAGCAAACAGCCATAGACAATGCATGGCTGTGTTCCAATCAAATTTTATTTTAGAATTTGGAGGTTGCATGAGAAGTGGAGATACAGACTCCAGGGGCAGAGCTGAGGGCAGCAGACATTACTGACCTGCTCCAAGGTGGTCCGAAGCTGGACGTTGTGGTGCTGCAGCCTGCTCCGGTCAATCTCCAGCCAGGCTACTGCTTGCTGTAGGTGTTCCAGCCTTTGTTTCCATGGCTGCTTCTCCTCCATCCCAGAATTGGACTCAGCTTCCACTCCTGAGACCTTTGGAGAAGACCTGAGAATCTCACCTGGGCAGCCCCAAAGACACATAGGGAACAGATGGAAGGCGAAGGGAACAACGTGGCAAGTCTAGGCTTCAGGGACCCAATACTCCACAAAGAGAACAAGCCCTTGACAGAGCTCCCTCGTGGGCCATCGGTCCCTGCCACTCCCCAGCTCACCTCTCTGGGCTGCGCACTTTGCTCTGCTCTGCTGGTTGGGCGCAGGCCGTGGAGCTGTTCTTCCTCCAAAGCCTGCCTGGCGAGCTCCAGCTCCTCCTGGGATATGGGGGTATGGGACAAAATCAGGCCACGCCAACCTCATATACAGAACCACCCCACCCTCCAACCTCATGAACACCATTTCCTTACCAGGGCACAGTCTGTTCTCCTGTAGCCTCTGAGCTATTCTAGTCTAGGACCTTCATTTTCCAGATGGATAAAACAAAGGAGCAGACAGGGATCCTCCCAAGGAGCAAGGATTCATGGTCAGCCTGCACTGAGCCAGGACCAGAGCCTCCAGCCCATCTTAGGTCTCACAAGGCAAAGTGACAACTTGGGGCTCTGACATGCTCTGGAAAGAGCAAAGACTTGAGTCATTCAGAGCTGGGTGCTAAGTCGCCACTTATTCGCTCTAAGACTTGGGTTAAAATATAAGCTCATTCCAAACCAGAAAGATTTTCCAAACCCCAAATTCCTCATTTACAAAATGACCACATGTTGCAAGAGACATGGGTCAAGGTCGTGGGGTTAAATCTCATTAGATGAAGAGGGAAGCCAAATGCTAGTTGGTTCCTAGTCACCCTGTTTCTTTTTCTTTTTTTTGGTACCGGGGATCGAACTCTGGTCTGAGCTCTTGCACAGCAGGTGGTGAAACCACTGAGCTAAATCTCTGGCCTCATCCTCTTTCTTTCTGTTTTGGAGCCGGGGATCGAACTCAGGTCCTTGCGCTTGCTCAGCGGACCCCACCCTGTTTCTTAATAACATCAAGAAGGACGACAGGATGATACAAGTACACAGTGTGATGGAAGCTGTCTTGGAAAGATGAACTGAGCAGTCAAAAGACTGAACTCAAAACCAGTATACATCTGTAATCCTAGCACTCTGGGAGGCTGAGGCAGGAGGATTGCTGTGAGTTTGAGACCAGTCTGGGCTACTAGTGAGTTCAAGCCTGAGCTACATAGTGAGACCTTGTCTCAACTGCCCCCCATCCCCTAAAAAAGGGACTGGGGATGTAGCTCAGCACAGGCCTTGGGTTCAAGACCTAACACCACCACCAACAAAACAAACAAACAAACCAACCAACCCAAAAACCCCAAGCCCCCAAAAGCCCGAGCTCTCAAGTCAGACTATTAGATCTAACTGTCCTCAGCCAGCTACCAGGTGTATGCCTTTGGACAAATTAACCTCTCTGCCATTTCTCAGCTGTAAAATGAGCATATTAGCAGTTCCTTCCTTTTTTTTTCTAGTACTGGGGATCGTACTCAGGACCTTGCACTTTCGAGGCAGGCACAGTGCCACTGAGCTAAATCCCTGGCCAGGGATTCCTTCTTTTTAGGATAGGGGAAGAAAGTGAGGTAACAGTGCCTGGCATGTAAAATGGTACTACCACAATGAAGGACTGGATTGAAAAGATGCCTCTGGGTGCTGGAGGTGGGAGGTGGGTGAAATAACTGACCCAAGTCCTGAGGAATACTGCTCAGTAACCAGGGGCATGGCCCAGAAGTGCCCTCCTGCCCAGTTACATGCCTTCCTTTTGCTGGGCCTGTGCCAATGGCCTGGAAATAGGAAAGGAGTTCCACTGATTGCTTTCTTCCTAAGCACTTGAAGTGCAGTGTTCACCTCATACTATCATTCCTGATCTTATTGACGAGAATGCCAAGGGTCAGAGAAGTGAAGACATTTACCCAGGGTCACATAGCTAACAAAACCATGGAACTGCATTCCAACCCAGGAACTTGAATCCACAGTTCACAAATGCAAATTCTCCCCTACACATTGTCCTTTAACAAAAGCAGAGTTCTGTAAGGTCCCAGAAGGAAAGTCCCTTGGGGTTTCTGTGTCTGAGATACAGGAGGGGTTCTTTTTTTTTTTGGTACCAGGGATCGAACTCGGGACCTTCTGCTTGAAAGGCAGGTGCTGGAACCACTGAGCTAAATCCCCAGTCCCCAGGAGGGGTTCTTTGGGGCTCAGTCAAGGGACCAGGATGTTGAATCAACTTTCCTGGAAAAATGGACTGAGTTTCTCTTGGCAAAAGAAAGGATGCCTGTCTACATTCAGTGCCAGCCTAGTTTTCCTGACTGCCAACTCTGTGTATGTCTTGTGCCCAGCATTGGTGTTGCAAAGGACTAAGGTGTGGTGCTTGACCTTGAGGTTAAATGTTATACCCTAATGTCCTATCCTGAACCCCCTTCCTTCTCCTTCAACAATCCACCTACCAGAGTCCACATGTTCCTAATTGCTGATGGTGCCAAAGTATTTAACGCTGGCCCAGGCTCATCCTTCAACTTCAGGCCCCTTTGCTAAGCCGCTGCTGGACATTTCACCCTGCACATAACCCCAGGTGCCTCACACCATTTCCAAACTGAACTCTTCATTCCACCCTTCTTCCTCTGCCTGGTTTTCTATATCTCCATGGGCAGAAACCCCTGTGTTGTCTTTTGACTTTTTGCCCTTTCTTTATTCCTATCTATTAGTCAATCAATGGTTAGGAGTCCTATGAACCCTCAGATCTATGCCATCTTAGGTTTCCACCACTCCCCAGGACTCCTATTACATTCTCCCAGTTGGCGTCCCCAGATCTGCTAACGCTCCACATGGTAGCCTGAGTGATCTTTTTGAACTATCTCTGATCATGTCAATTCCTTGCCCCAAACCTTCCTGCTAGAGCCCCAGGTCTTAGTGTGACTTATAAGCTCTGAGTGCTGTGGCCTCTGCTGTCTTCTCTTTCTCCTACCAGCTCTATTTCCCAGATGCCCAGAACTTCTTACATACTCTGTATGCTCTCTATCCCTCTTTATCCTCTTCCCCACAAACCCCTGCCCCCATCTGTGCTTGGGTAGTTCCCAACTGGTCCCTTCAGATCTAATCTTCAACCCTACTTGTACCAGGAAGCTTTTTGGGATTCACCCCCAGAAGAGGCTGGCTATCCTTCCAGCATAATTGGACCACCTGGCACTTCTTTATTAGGCAATGACTGCCTGCATGGAGTCACTCATCTAGACTACTTCCAAGGGCAGGGACTGTGGTTGGCTTACAGACTAGCCCTGTAGCCTGAGCTCTGCTCATGTTGGGTGCTCATGATCTCAGCTTTCTTACATCCTCTGAGGTGCCACAAGGTCCGGGGTAAAAGGCAGCCCCTGGGCCAGGGATTTAGCTCAGTGGTTCCGCTGCCTTCCTTGAAAGCACAAGGACCTGAGTTTGATCCCCGGTACCAAAAAAAGAAAAAAAAAAAAAGCACCCTCTGAGGTCAGCCAGATGGGTCCCCAGCCCTTATTCCCCTGGAGTGACTCACCTGCAGCCTCTGCTGTTCTGAGTCTCGTTGCAGGACAGAGGCTTGTAGGAGCATGGCTACCTCCTGCAGACTGCTGACACTGGCCTTGCTCTGAGCCAAGTTCAGTGCCAAGTCTCGGGCCTTCTCTCTCCACTCAATCTCCCTGGCTTCTGTCTGTCTCAGGGCTACTTGCAGTCGCTCCAAGTCCCAATTCAGTTTTGGAGAAGACTCCTCCACTGGGGAGGCTTTGTGGCTGGGAGGAGAGGCCGCCAAGTTCTTCCTTTGCTGGACCTCTCTAAGCTCCAGGATCTCTTCTTCCTTTTGGGCTAGAGTCAGCTGTAGCTCCCTTAGGCTCTCATGAAGGTCCCTCACCTCCTCTTTCTCTTGCTCCAGACTCTGCTTCTCTTGGACCTCATTCTCTTGGCTCCTCTGGGCCAGACACTTCTCCAGCAACTGCCCCTGTTCCTGAAGATGCTTCAGCTCTTCATCCTTCTGGGCAAGGGCCTGCTGGAGCTGCTGCACATCCTCCTGGTGTTGGAGATCCTGCTCCTGGATTTCACCTTCCCGCATTCTCAGGGTCTTATCCAGCTGCTGGGCATGAGCCTGGCAGGCATCCAGGGCGGCCTGCAAGGTGGCAGTGCCTGCCTCCAGGCTGTGGCTCAGTTTTGTCTGCTCAAGAAGACACTGTTCTTTCTCTTGCAGCGTAACCTGGGCCTTGCTGAAGGCCTCTTGCAGAACTGCCTCCTGATGCCGGAGGGACTGCCTTTCTGACCGCAGAGCCTCCAGCTCCTGGTCCTGTTCCTTGAGTGTGGCTTTTGCCTGCAGCCAGCTGTCCTTCAGGGCCCTTGCTTCTGCCTCGTGCTCTTGTGCCTGCTCGGCACACTGTTGGTGAAGGGCTAGTAGAGCTTTCTCTTGTTCTCGAGACTCAGCCCTTAGGTCTCCCAACACCTCCTCCAGGGCCTGTACCTGTCGTCCTTCCACTGTCAGCTCTTCCTGGAGCCTTTGCACCTGCTCCCTGTGCTCCTCCAGCTCCCCTTGATGCTCCTTCAGCGTCACATGGGCCTGTTCCAGAGCTGCCTGGAGTGCACTGGCCTTCTCCTTCACGATCTCTTCCTGGGCCTGGGTCTGCCGCTGAGCTTGCTGCAGGGCCTCAAGTTCCTGGTTCCTCTGGGCCAGGGCTCTCTGGGCCTCTTCGAGCTGACCCTGAAGCAACTGCTCTTTCAGCTCCCTTTGTTCCTTGGCTTCCTGCAGGTGACTCTGCAGAGTCACTATCTCCTGCTCTCTCTGAGTCAGAAGCAGGCTGGTCTCACCCACCTTCCTGTGCAGGCCCTGGAGCTGCTGCTCCAGCTGATCCTTGTGCTCCTGAAGTTCCTGGATGTGCTCCTGCTGGCATTCCACCTCCTTCTCCTTATCCCGCAGGATCAGCTTCATGTGCTCCAGATTCCCTCGATGTGCTTTACTAGGGCTCTTCCCTTCCTCTGCCTGCTCCTGCATCAGCTGTCTCTGAGAAGCCAGCTCCCGGCTGCGCTCTCTCAAAGACAGCTTGATCTGTTCCAGGTCTTCCTCTAGGATCTTGGTCTGCCGTGTCCTCTGGTCTTCCAGGACCTGAATCCTTTCCCTCTGCAGTAGCAGCTCCTGGCCCCTTCTCTCTAGGTCTTGAGTCAGATGCTCTTTCTGCCTCTGCAGCTCCTCAATCTGCTGACCCTGGGACTTCACCTCCTGGTTCCTCTCCTGCAGCTCTCTTGCCAGAATGGTGCTATGACTCTCCAGCTCATGGATCTGGCTGCTTTGCACCTGCAACTCCTGGCTCCTTTCTTCCAGGTCCAGTGTGAGGTGGGTCAGAGCCACCCTCTGCATCTCCCGCTGGCCCTCCAGCTCCTCAATCACCTTCTGCTGGCTCTCCAGCCTGTGATGGCTTTCTTGCAGCTCCAGGGCCAGGCATTCCAGAGTTACCAACTGCTTTTTCAGATCCTGAATCTGTCCTCTCTGGGACTCAATTACTTGGGCCTTCTCCTCCAGCTCCAGAAGCTGACGCTCCAAGACATTCCTCTGGGTCTCCCGATCCTTTTCCAGCTCCTTGATCTGCTCCCTCTGCAGAGTTAGCTTTTGCTCTCGCTCCTGGACTGCCATGGGCAGGTGCTCTAAGACAGACCTACACTTCTCTAGCTCCTGAATCTGTTCTTGTTGCAGATCCACTTCTTGGTTCCTCTTCTTCAGGTCCAGAGACAGCAGTTCTAGAGCAGCCTTCTGCATTTCCCGCTGCTTCTCCAGTTCCTGGATTTCTCCCTGCAAAGTTTTCACTTCCTCTTCTCTCTCAGATAAGGTGTGGGCCAGCAGAGCCAAATTCTCCTGCAAAGCCTTCCCCTGGGCCACTTTCAGCTCGCCCTGCTCTTGTAGAGCCTGGGCTCTCTCTCGCTCACTCTCCACCTCTTTGTTTTTCAATTTCAGTGCTGAGCGAGCCGTTCGCAGATCTTCTTCCAGGACCCCAGCAGCACTTGCCTGAGCCCTGGCTTCTGCAACACTTGCTTGCAGATGCTCCACCTGGGCTGTCAGGTCCTCCTTGGCTGCCCAAAGCAACTCTCGCTCATTCTGGAAAACAAGAGCCAAAGCCACCACAGACAGTATGACTTCTTTGATACCTCACTCCAACACTGGCCTAACTCTTCCTTATTTTGTGGCACTAGCTGTGGCAGGACTTGGGCAAAATAAGTGCTGCACTCCACTTAAGCTGATCCTATTTAAAAAGTGTCCCTAGTACCTCCCAGGGCTCTGCCAGATCCACAGGAAATGGGTTGCTACAAATGAGTGATCCCAGCCTCTGGTCCTTCAGGCCAAGGGACAAAAATCCAAACCTCAATTCAGAAAGAATAATTGGAGGAAGATTTTTATGACTTTAATAATGGCCCTCAGGGACATGGGGATAGTCGGAAGAACTGAGCCTTGTGCTGAAGGAAGCTGTACATGTGACCACAGGCTGAGGTGGGCCTTGAAGCTGGGGCCCTGAGGGCTGGTTCCTGAGGCCATCCCTCACTCTACCCCAAATCAGTACCACTTTACCTGGGCTTCTATTCTCTGTATCTCTGCTTGCCGAAGGTGACTCTTTAAGGATGTCACAGATTCATGAAGTTCCATCAGCTCAGATTTTAGGGAATTCTGTTTTCCTTCCCACTTGGATTTCTCTTTGGGAAGAGCAGAGGTAGTAGAGTCAGACCCAAGGTAGGCAATGGGAAAACACAGGGGTATAGAGACAGATGGAGGATGGGGAAGAGAATCAAAGAGGAAGGCCAATGAGGACAGAATTACATCCAGCATCCTAAGTCATCACCCATCTGCCAGCTGCTCCTGTTTGCTTAGGTTCCCTGCTGCTTCCAGACTCATGCCTGTGTCTGCTGCTAGCCCTGGCATTGCCAGTAATTATGCTAACTCTTCCTCATCCTGATCACACAGAAATCCTCAAGGCTGGAGTCCAGACAGGTTAAGCCAGCTGACATCAGAGGTCCCTTCCAGCCCCCTGGTGATGTGATTTCGTAGAGGTTCTTAGAAACTCCGGTGGCTCTGCTGAGTGTCCCTCATTTCTGCAGGATATCTCAGAATCCAGAACTACTTGTGTGGGTCTCTGGGAGCTCGTAAATAGTCTCAAAAAGGCCTGGACACATGCCCCAAGTTGTCCTCTTCTCTTCTACAGCAGAAGCTCAAACCTCAAGACACTGCCCTCTCCTTTCCAAGTGGTTCCCACTCTTTCCAGCTCTTGGCTGAGGTACAGATCTGAACCCTGTTCTTTGCTGCCTCCCAAGTAAGCACTCTCCAAGGCTAATCTTGAGTATATAGTTGGAAATGATAAAAATAAGTAACATGGATAAATGACCAAAAAAAGGTTTTTTTGTGAATCAGGGTCTCACTATGCAGTTCAGGCTGGTCTCAAACTCACAAGCTCAGTAATCCTGCCTCAGCCTCCTGAGTGCTGGGACTATAGGTACTAACACACTTAGCCACTTTTTTTTGTTTTGTTCTCTAGACAAGGTCTCATTATGTAATTCAGGTTGAACTCACTAGTAACCATGGGGCCAGGGATTTAGCTCAGTGGTTTCGGCCCCTGCCTTGCAAGTGCAAGGTCCTGAGTTTGATCCCTGGTACCAAAAAAAACCCAACAACAAGCAATGTACTAGTAACCGTGGCTGGCCTCAAACTCAAGGTGATCCTCTTGCTTCAGCCTCTCCCCGGGATTACAGGCATGGGCCACCTCACCTGGCAGGTTGTTATTTTTTAAGTCTTCTATAGAGACAGGAAAAGGAAGCCTAGTGATCTCCTTATCTCAGTTTATTAAATCTTGCCTCAAATTCCTTCTCTAGGATGGCCCTCAAAGGGTAAGTAAAGCAGAATAGCTCAATGAGACCCTTCAGAGATGCCTTAAACATCATCTTACAGTTGTGGGTAAACAATACATACAGCAGCTGCTAGGCTGTTCCTGCCCACTCTGGGCTTCCCACCTGTCCTCCCTTTAAACCTTCCGCCTGCTTGTGCGGCTCACCTTCCTGGCTCTGGAAGAGCTGTCTCTTTAGGTCCTGCAACTCTGAGTGGACCTGGGTCTTCTCAGCCTCGGCATCAGTTAGCCGCTGTGCCATCTTATGGGCCTGATCCCTCAGGTCATCCTGGGAAAGGAAGGCAAGTGAGTTCTCCATCCACCACAAAGCTGGCCCATCCAGGCTCAAGCACGTTCCTCACTCTCAACCTCTCGGGTGGTCTGTCACCCTGGCGTTACTCCCAGACTGCTGAGTTCTTACCTCTGAACTCACATGCATGTAGCTCCCTGAAGTGAGCACAAAGCCTTTCTACCCTATGACTTTGGAACAGAAATGCTCATGGTGCTATTCCAGGACACACCTCTTCCCTCCCAAATACCTACTTTAAAGCTTAGCCCAAGGGTCACCTCTTCCTTTTGCCTGCCCCTCCCTGAGCTGGAATGGACTGCCCCTTCCTCACAGTTCTGAAGCCCATTACCCGTGTCTGTTACTGACTCAATCAATTCAATTGGTTTTGGAGCCAGATGTGATGGCTCATGTTTGTGATCTCAGAACTGTAGGAAACCAAAAATAGGAAAGCTGCAATTTCCAGCTCAGCGTGGATACCTTAGTGACTTAGATCCTTTCTCAAAAAGTAAAGAGGGCTGTGGTTCCGCCGCCTGCCTTGCAAGCGGAAGGGTCTGAGTTCGATCCCCGGTACCAAAAAAAAAAAAAAGTAAAGAGGGCTGAGATGTAGCTTGGTGCAAAGACCCTGGGTTCAATTTCCAATACTGGGGGGGAAAAAAAGGAAAGAATGCACTTTGGTTCCCCACCATGTCACAGCCTCTGGAGGGCAGAGCTCAGGTCTTTCTCTTTTTCATATCTCTAAGTGAGTGTGGCTGGCACATGAGCCAGTCAATTTGTACTGACTGACAGGTTCGCAGTGAGGTGGGATTTGTGGGATCTTTAAATTTAGTCTTAGGCTTTAAATGTTCCCTAAATAGCAACCTTAAGTATCAGTGGTCCCCAACTTGCTGAGTTTCCAAGAATAAATTCACAGCTGAGGGAAAATTTATGCAAAACAAAACCAGACTGTGTTCAGGGATTATAGTTTACAGGGCTCCTCAAAACACCACCCATTTATCCTCAAGATAACTCTGCGGGGCAGGCATTCTCCTCCTCCTCTGAAAGTGAAAGCAAGGTTCAGGAAAGTCAAATGCTTTAGTCACAGTTGCCAGGTAGTAAGTGATAAGAAGGGGAACTCATCCCTTTTTTTTTTGGTACCATGGATCAAACTCGGGTCCTTGCACTTGCACAGCAGGTGGTGGAACCACTGAGCTAAATCCCCGGCCCCCCATCCCATATTGATCTCAGAAGAGGTCAAACAGCTTCATAAGTCTGTGTGTCAGGCTTTTCAGGTGGAGGTGAATTTAAAAAAAGGAGGGCAGACAACATACCCGGGCCTGCTGTGTCTTCCACAGGTCTTGGTGAAGATTGTGCAGAGCAGATGCCACGGCCTCAGCTGAGAGAGCAGTCGGGAGGGGCCCACTCTTAAAGAGGCTCCTAGCTCCATTTTTATCTGGAGAAAAGAGAAAAGCCCTCTTCATCTGGCTGCCACTATGCAAAGAAACAGCCATCCCTCTCCAGACCCAGCCTTGGCCTTTGGCCTCCCCACTGGTCCTTTACTCCTCAAAGAGCAGCCATTCAGTCACATGCCTTCTGCTTTTCTATGTGTCAGGCACTGTGGTGGGTACTAGATGATGCCAGGAACTGTGTGAGTTGTTTACATGAACTCCTTAGAAAACCACTGAGTTAAGTAGTTTTAATATCCTATTTTACAGTTGAGAAAATCAAGCTCAGAGAAATTAGGTGAGTTGCCCAAGGATACATAGCTAGCAAATGGCAGGGAAAAATTATACAAAACAAAACCACACTGTGGTCAGGGTTTATAGTTTGCAGAGTTCCTCAGGACCCTTCTCATTTATCCTCAATGTAACCCTTGGTGTTCAAACTCACCTAAAATTAATTCCAGAGTCTGTGGGCCTAACTTTGATGCAACACTGTCTGAGGAACTGCACTCCCCTCGCTTTCTCCCTGGGGCTAGCCTTGGCCCAAAGGACTTAGCTCTTGTGTGGCTGCCTCACCTGGCTCAGGGCCCCAGAGGAAGGAGGCAGAGTCTCCCCCACCCCTCAGCTCAGGCCTCTTCTCACAGGCAGACCCCAGGGCCTGCTGCAGAACAGAGTAGAGGCTAGCCAGCTGGGCCTCGGCCTGGGCCTGGGCCCCAGGCTGCTGCTCAGTAGCCAGTGCCTCCAGTTGGCTCTCTGTGCTGTGCAGTTGCAGCTGCAGTTGGGTGGCCTTGGCCTCCTGGGCCCACAAGGAAGCTCGTAGCTGCTGCTCCGTGATCCGCAAGGCCTCCAGCTCCTCCAGCAGCTGTGCTTCCTGGGCCACAAAGTCAGCCTCCTTTTCCTTGACCTCCTGCCTCAGTAATTCCATCTATTAGGGAGGAAGAGGATTCACTCTGACCTGGGTCTCCTCAGACCTCCCAGGCCTGACCCCACTCAATCCCTGGGCAAAGCTGGTCCCAACCTGGGAGGATTTGAACAGGCTCAGCTCTGGCAGGTAGGGAGGGCTGAAATGAGTATTCCTTTACTCTGACACCTAGGCCCAGGCCACGCTAATGGGCTCTGGCCTGGATTCCCAAGCAGAATGTCAGCTTCCTGCTCTGATTAGAACTCTGCCCTGAAACCCTGAAACGAGCCTAAGACCATCACCATACTTACTGTGTTCCTGACCATGTTTACTTATTGCTGTCATAGCTAAGAGTTATCACTGTAGTTTATGGATGAAGAATCCAATGCTCACACAACTAGGAAGTAGTAGGGCCAGCACACTCAGGACTAACAGCAAACCAGTGCCCTTATCCATTGCTAGCTCCCCTACCCCTTCCTCTCGCAGTCCCATCTCTCCTCTGGACCAGGTTGAGGGGCCACTGTGAGCAGACTGAGTCTCTCGAGTCCTCTTACTGCTTCCTGCCTGATCTGGAATATTTCTTGCTGCTCTATTCCCCGAAGCACCTTGCCAACCACACCAAGCACACTGGTGGATGAATCAGGCCCACCTAGGCACCATGTTCCAGTTCCCTACAGCACCCATTCTCATCTCTGGGTCACGTTCCCTAGCCCCCACCCTGCCCAGTACTGGCTTAGTGGGAGCTACCTGGGCACTGAGCTCCTTCTGCCCTTCCTGGGCTTTCTGCATGTCCTGGTGCAAGGAGCTCAGCTCTTGCTGTTGAACAGTGTCAGCTTCTTGCAAAACAAGGAGTCTCTGTTCCTTTTCCACAAGTGACTGAGTCAGGCTAGAAGGACAGAGGTGAGAGAGTTAGGTCATTCTCTCAGGGAGTGAGAAGCTGCCTTCTGATCTGACCTAATCACAGCATTAAGAATGAAAATAGAAATAGTATTGATAATGCTTATAGTGTTTCAATAAAACTGTCCCCATCTGAGCACCTAAGTGTTCCTAGGTACTTCATACCTATGGTGTCTCATTTCAACTTCAGTTTATTCTTCTCTGGCAAATCCCACATACCTCTATACAAGTACTTCAAAGTCAGTATGTCTAAATCTTCATGTTCCCTCTGTACCTCCAACTCCCCACCCAATCACCTCCAATGTTCCCAAGCTCAGTGAATGGCACCTCCATCCGCACTGTGCCCCAACATAGATACCTTGACCACTTCGCAGAGTCCCCCTCCACCCCTCCCACATCCAATCCATGTCTGCATAGGATGGCTTCACCTTAACTCCCTTACACCTTCTGTCTCCTCCCCTCCCAGTAGTTACCCTGATGCAGCATTAATATCTCTTATCTGAACACCTGTACCAGCCTCCTGATTTGTCTTTCTGCCTTTGAGGGTCATCACCAAGAGAATCTGTCCCTTCTCAAACTCCTGTGTCACTGAGAATATATATACTCCTCTCCTTTTTTTTGGTACTGGGGATCGAACTCGGGACCTTGTGCTTGCGAGGCAGGCAGCGGAAGCACTGAGCTAAATCCCCGGCCCTCTCTTCTCCTTTTTGAATGGTCTCATGTCACCTCTGATATTTTTATGCCATTACTGTCCCCCTCTCCCCTTTGTTCTTTTTTTTGGTACCAGGGATAGAACTCGGGACCTTGCACTTTCGAGGCAGGTGGTGTAGCCACTGAGCTAAATCCCCGGCCCTCCCCTTTGTTCTTGAGACAGGGTTTCACTACATAGTCCAGGCTGGCCTTGAACTCACAGAGATCGTCCTGCCTCATCCTCCCAAGTGCTGGAATTATAGTTATGTGCCACCATGCCCAGCTGTCCCTTCTAATACATCATAAATTGGATTATGTGCAGGGATGGTGGGGAAGGCTTGGAATTACAGCACTCTGGGATACTGAGGCAGGAGGATTGAAAGATCAAGTCCAGGTCGCACAAGCTCAATTTAGTGAGACCTTGCCTCAAAAGAGAAAATAAAATGGGATGAGAATATAGCTCAGTTCAAAGGCCCTGGGTTTAATCACCAGTATTATAATCAAATCAGTCAATCAATAGAATTATGTCAATTTCCCTGCTTGAAATCCTCCAGTGGTTTCCTAGGAAACTTAATCTACAAACTCCTTGCCATGACTTACAACATTCTAAATGGTATGGGGTTGTCCAGCTTGCCTCATTCGACATAGTCCAGTTACACCACACCCTGAGCTCCACCAAACATTGTAAGCTTTCATCTGCTTCAGGGCCTTTGAGCATGTGCATAATTTCTATTTCTGCTGGATAGCACTCTTCTTCACCCCTTTATAGTACTGTTCTTTACCCCTTTGCATGGGTGGCTCCATTTCATCCTTCAGTGCTCAATTTAAATACACCCTCCACCCCCAGGAAGGCCTTCCCTAACAACTTTCCAAAGTAGGTCTCTTGCTGGGTGTAGTGGTGCACACCTATAATACCAGCACTTGCGGGAGGCTGAGGCAGGAGGACTGCTGCAAGTTTGAGGCCAGCCAGGCTGCATTATGAACTCAAGGCCAGCCTGAAGTACATAGTGAGACCCTGTCTCAAAAAAAAAAAGTAGGTGTCACTCACATCTCTGTATCAACACCCTGTTTCTTTCCTTCATACCATGTGTCATAATGTGGAGAATTATTTGACTAAAGTTTTCTCTATAAAACTACAAATTCTGTCAAGGCGGAGGCCACACTGTCTTGTTTATCTTTGGCTCAGTGCCTGGTACATAATGGGTATTCTCTAAATAATTACTAAATGAAGGAAGTGTAAGTTTTGAGACAGGGGCCAGGTCCTCTCCACATGGCTGCATATACACCCTAGAGCTGAAGACATGAGTCAAAGTGATCTGAGCAAAGAATTCTGTGTCACTGTGACTATTGTAGCCCGAGAGGCAAAAGTCAACTCCGTGGCTTTCTAGCCTACCTGGCCTTCTCCCTCTCCAGTTCCTTCTGAATTTGGCTGTACTCCTGGGCTTCTCTCAGCTTTTCCTGAACCTCTTGCTCCACCAGCCTGTGGGAATCCTCCTGGGCCACCAGCTGAGACTTTAGGTCCTCCACCTGGAAGGTTAAGGACATAAGGATCAGATGGCAGGGAAGCAAAGGAAGGAGGTTTCTGGCCTAGGGCTTTCATGTTCTACAAAGTGCACCAGAGTCAGTGGCCCTGCTCCAATGTTCTGAAAGTTCCATCCATGCCTTCACACTATCCTTAACGACCCCTTCCCCAATACCATTCAGCCTGGCCATTGGTTTCTCCACCTCACAAATGCTACATAAAGGCAGATACAAATAAACATCTTGGCTTAATAGTTATACTTTGTTTTTTGTTTGTTTGTTTGTTTTGGGAATTGAACACAGGACCTTGTGCTTGCCAGGCTGGAAAGCCAGGATGTAACCACTGAGTTACATCCCCAGCCCAGTCATTGTACTTTAAAAAAAAAATCCAATCATCTGATATAGGATTCTGAGAATAAAAAGCAGTCTGGACAAGAAAAGCAATATATGCAATGTGCTCACTCCAGTCAAAGGTTACTGTGGTTGTACAGTATCCTGGAACCAGTCCCCCTCAGGTACCAAAATCTGCAGATGCTCAAGTTACTTACATAAAATAGCACAGTATTTGCATATAACCTATGCACATCCTCCCATAATCTTTAAATTGCCAGTAGATAACTCATCATATCTAATACAATGTAATTGCTATGTAAATAGTTGTTATACTCTATTGATTAGGGAATAAGAACAGAAAAGAAGGGGCTGGGGATTTAGCTCAGTGGTTCTGCTGCCTGCCTCGAAAGCACAAGGCCCTGAGTTCGATCCCTGGTACCAGAAAAACAAACAAACAAAAAAACACAAAAAACAGAAAAGAAGTCTGTACATGTTCAGTACAGATGCAATTTTTTTTTTTTAACCAGATGCAATTTTTTAAAAGAAAATTTTCAACTGGCTGTTACTTAAACCTTGGAGTGGAACCCATGGATACAGAGGGCTAAAGGAACTGTCCCAGGACTCTGAGAGGCCCATGTTCTCTCTGGGATACTTTTCCCTCCCAAGGTAGAAGGGCCTCAGCTCTGTGATCTGTGGATGGGAATGGGAAGACCTGGCTGTACTGAGATGGGCTTTGAGGCAGGGTGGGGAGGAAGGGGGACCTGCTTCTGGAGATCTATCTTATCCTGTAGCAGGGTGCTGGTCTCTTCTCGGAGGGCAGCAAGGTTGTCTCTGTGCTGCTGAGCTGTCTCCTTCAGTTGCCTCTGGGCCTCCTGGAGCTGGGTCTGAAGCATCCCAGTGGTGTCCTGCAGAAGTAAGAAGATAGGAGTGAGTGTGGGAAAGCTTCCGCTTGGGCCTGGGTCTATTTCTTCTGTTGGGTTGGCAAAAACTGTGGCAGAAGCCAGCAATCAATGTTTTTTTCACCTCAACTCCTCACCTCCTATTCCCTTTCCCACCCCATAAAGTGCACAGGCTCCCCCAGGTTTCTTGGTCAGGGTCCATGTGTTGATAATAGTCTCTCACTGCACTACCCAACAGCCTCCTGACCACATCCCTACTTCCACCTGCTACCAGTCCTCTCACCCCAAACACACTGTTCTCCACTCAGCAGCTAAAGTTATATACAGTGGTACCTTGGTTCACGAACTTGAGTCTTTCCATGATTCTGGCCTCAAACTGTGTTGGACAAGAACGGAATTAAATTCAATGGTTAGGTTCAATATTGGCTTTATGGGGAAATTTGATTTGGTTCTCATCCAGTTCGATTTGCAACCAGAATCGTGGAGAGAATTGAATTGTGAACTGAGGTGTGTGTTTGTGTGTGGGTGGGTGTGTAGGTGGGTATATAAAAAACAATGTAACTCAGTGGTAGCATACATCCACAAAAGAAAAAAATATATGTACATATAAATTAAAATATATAACATCATGTTCCACATTTGTTTTTCAAATACCATCCAAAAGTTTCCCACTGCCCTTAGAACAAAATCTAAGCTCCTATTATGGCTGAGGAAGAGCTCCTGTCTACCTCTCCACATGCACCAAGCCACACTCCTCTTTCTGTCCTTGACCTTCCCAAACCTCTTTCTCTGTCCTGGCCCTATGAGAGCTAAACCCTCTGCCTGAAGTGTTCCTAGCTGCTGTTTTTCTTTCTTTTTTTTTAAGGTTTTTTTCTTAAAGGTTTTTTTAATTTAAAAATTTTTTTTGGTGACAGGGTCTCACTATGTAGTTCAGGCTGGCCTTGAACTCACTATGTAGCCCAGGTTGGCCTCACACGTGCAGTGATCCTCCTGCCTCAGCCTCCCAAGTGCTAGAATTACAGGCATATGCTACTACACCCAGTGGGATGGCTTCTTTTTAACATTCAAGTCTCAGCTCAAATGTCCCTTTCTCTGCAAGGCCTTCCCTGGCCAGCTTGCCCTCTCAATGACATCATCCTATTTCTTTCCTTTGCAGAACTTATTACAATCTGTAATCATCTCATTTATTTTATGTCTCCTCATTTGTCATCCATCTCTGCCACCAGAATGTAAATTCCCTGAGGGCAGACACCATGTCACATTATTGGGCCACACCTTTATGGACTTGTCATGTGTCAGCACCTAAAGCACAAAACCTGATTCATCAGAATTTGCAAAGAGGAGTACCACTCAGCCATAAAGAATGATTAACTAGAGGCTGAGGATTTAGCTTAGTAATTTCGCCACCTGCTGCACAAGCGCAAGGACCCAAGTTCAATCCCCCGTACCAAAAAAAAAAAAGAATGATTAACTAGAGCCCTTTCTAGCTAAATGGATGCACCTTGAGGCCATACTCTTAAGTGAAATAAATAGGACGCGTGTAAATACTGAGTTGTTTCTCTGGTGTGAGAAACTGAAAGTATAAGCGAGGACCAAAATGTATAATAAATTATGTGAAATAGGAGGGGAGAATGGAATAAAATAAAAATTTAAAAAATAGATAATGCGAAATAGGAAGAAAAGGTTCAAAGGGGAAGGGGAACTAGGGAGGGGGGTGGGGGAAAGGAAAGAAGGAAAAGAAAAAAATGAGTAAAGAAGGAAAAAATGGAAACAAAGCTTTTGTAAATAGGGAAGGGTGGAGGGGTGGGAGGGAAGAGAATGGGAAAAAACAAGAACCAAGATATATCATGTACAGGTACAAATTCCAAATGATGAATGTGATCATAACGTACACCTAAAATGTACCAACAAACTTAATGAAAAAAAAAAGTGCCAAAGAACTCTTCACTGTTGAATGGGGGAACAAACACCCAGGCCTAACCTCCATACCTGCTCCCTTAGCTTCTGAACCTTCATGTCTTGCCTCAGCCGTTCCAGTTGTTGGCTGGCATCTGCCAGTTCCTTCTGGGTTTGTAGCAGTGTCTCCAGGAGGGACACTCTTTCTTTCTCTGTTTCCAGCTGCATCTGCGGAGGGACAGGAAGGGCAAGGCCTTGTGGGCTCAGGGTTATCATGCTCACCAGGAGGCCATAAGCACATCCCAGCTGTTCTAGGTTTCTTCCAGCAAATAGAAAGTCTGAGTCCGCTGACTGAGGACCAGGAAGTGCAAGTTGCTGCTGGTTTGCAAGCTGACAGGATGTGGTAAGTGTCAGCCTTCCTTCAGGAAGTACGACATACTGCCAGCCCTGCAGCTAACAGTGTGGATCACTGCTCACTGGTGGTAAGGTGAATACACTCCTTCTGGAAGTCCCTCTACAGCCCAGGCTTAGGAGTGGAAAAAGAAAGTGGTCAAAGGTCAGGGAATCACAGATGAATGAACTGCTCCAGGCCTGGCTTCCCACCTGGCAGAGCGCACTGTCAGCCTGGGTCCGTTCCTCTTCTCTCTGGACCCGCATGGCCTCTGTTTCTGTCTGCTGCTCCCTCAGCCTCATTTTTAGCTCCATCTTTTCCCTCTCCAGGCTTTCCAGAGCCTTGTCTAGTTCTTGCTGGTGCTGGGAGCGCTCTTTTTCCTGGCCACATGAAAGAAATACTGATAGAATCCAATGGGTAAAGAGAGACAGCAGAAAGAGAACTGGTTTGGAATGAGAATCTCTCTACTACTCCCAAGCTGTGCCACCTGGGTACTTCCTCTAAGCCTGTTTCCTCCTCCATAAAGTGAGGTTTAATAATCCCTGCTCTAGCTGAGTATGGTGGAGCTTGCCTATAATCCCACCTCTCTGGGAGGCTGAGGAAGGAAGATAATGAGTTCAAGCCCAGCCTGGGCAATTTAGTGAAACAATACAAGACAAGGCAATACAATACAATTTTTTCCTGAAACCACTTTAATAACCCTTAATCCCAGGGGTCACTCTTTATTTTTTTCCCAAGAGCATCCTTCCATCCTATCATGGGCCACTTAACTTTCTCTCTCTACACACACCCCAATAATGAAGGTTAACACAAATACAGAGCTCATTCATGAACAGAAACTATTTTTTTTAAATTGGGGATGGAACCTAGGGGCATTCTATCACTGAACTACATCCCTAGCCATTGTTACTTTATTTTGGGGATACAGGTATGCACCATTGTACCTGCTTTTGCCAGAAACAATTCTTAGTGGATATATTAACTCATTTAATAGCTAGAAGGTGGCTAGGTATGGTGGTGCATACTTATAATCCAAGCATTCTGGGAGGTTGAGTCAGGAGGATTACAAGTTTGAGCCCAGGCTGGGAAACTGAGTGAGAAGCTGTCTCAAATTAAAAAAAAAAAAAAAAAAAAAAAAAAAAAGCAGGGGTGGTAGCGGTGATGGATTGGGACATAGCTTAGTACAAGGGCCCTAGGTTCAATCCACAGTACCATAAAAAATAAAAAGCTAGAAATTGGGTTTTTGTTTATTTATTTCTGAGATAGTACCTCCTATGTTGTCTGGGTTGGCCTGAACTCATCATGTAGCCCACTCAGGCTGGGCTTGAATTCATAGTGATCTTCCTGCCTCAGCCTCACTAGTGCCACCCTGCCCAGCTAGAAGTTGGATTTTACACCTTGATGACATAACTACTCTTCTGAGCAGCAACATCTGTACTGGTGGTGCACTCACTGAAAGGAGGCCAAGTCTGCCTCTGCCATCCCCCAGACATCCACCACCTACCCACTTCTCCTGGAGCCGGTTCGCCTCCTCCCGGTGGGCTGCCTTCTGCTGCTCCAGGGCTGCCCGCCACTCTTGCTCTGCCTGGGCCAGCTGTCTGGCTGCTGTATCCCGCTCCTGCTCTGCCCAGCTCCGCTCAGTGTCCAGTTCCTGCTTCAGGCACCTCACCTCCCCTAGAATGCCAGGGACAGGAACAGCTCTCTGAGCCTCCGCCTCACTCATTTACCTAATAATGGTCTCCTGCTTCCCTCACAGGGAACTCTCATCTCCATGGCCTGGCTGGAGAAGCTCTAATAACCTCCCACTGCCTTCCAGGTTTGGAACATCCCACAGGATGGAGCGTGCCCTCTCCCAGCTGGGTTCTCACCTTGGATTACTTCCTTGGCTTGGGTGACAGTTTGAATCTGGACCTCCAGTTGCCCCCTGGTGACCTCTATCACAGAATTTTGTTGCTGGGCCTCAAACAGACTGCTCTCTAGCTGCTCCTTGGCTGAGCTGTGAGGTTCAGAAATCAGTAAGAGATCTTAGCTATCTTCCTTTTTTTTTTTTAATTTTTAAAAGAATTTTATTTATTTATTTATTTATTTTTCCCCTTCCTTTTTCTTAAGAGGTGTTGGGTTCTAAGTACTGGGTACCTGGAGAGTTAGGGGCGATCATAAATTCATAACTCATTGAGAACTCACAGGTGCAGAGAAGCTAGGCTTGGCTACCCCTTGCCTTGCAAAGCTCTCTCTGTGCTTGGCTGAGCTGGGTCCAGGCCTTACCTGAGCCCCAGAAGTTGTTCGGAGAGGTCCTGGCGGTCCCGTTCCACAGCCTGGAGCCTCACCTCGAGAGCTGCCCTCTCCCGAACCAGGGCCTCCTTTTCCTGGGCTGTGATGGCAAGCACTTCTTCCTGTCGCTCTACCTCCTGACGTAGCTGCTGCAGTTGAGCTCTGGCTGCCTCCCGCTGGTGCCGAGACTGAGGGGAAGAAGTTGGTGAGATGCGAAGCAGGTGCAGAATCTCCCCAGGGCTGCTATCACCAGGTTAGGAGCACTGGCTTTTTGGAGATTCTGTGCCCAGCACTGTGGGCCCTGAACATTGCTCACCCAACCACAAGTGATCAACCCAGTGATCCCCTGGCTCAGGAAGTATGCTCTTCTATGAGCAACACCCTTACTAGGGACAGCAGACCTGCTCCTAAGGAGCTTTCAGTTTTGACTGGGGGTGTGTGTGTGTGTGTGTAACTGGGACTCTGAACTCAGGACCTTGTGCTTGCCAGGCAGGTGTGGTGCCACTGAGCTACATCCCTGGCCCCAGGAGCTTTTAGTTTTGTTTTGTTTTGGTCCCGGGGATTGAACTCGGGTCCTTGAGCTTGTGCAGGAGGCGGCGAAACCACTGAGCTAAATCCCCGGCCCAGGAGCTTTTAGTTTTGAGAAGTAAGACATACATATAATACCAGGAAGAAAGTGTTCAGTGTCATGAGAAAGGAACTCTGCAAAGGGAGATTATGTATAATTATTAAGGCAATGAGCAGTTTGGGAGCAGGAAGATGCTCTTTGAACCAGGTCATTCACTGATTCAGATAAAAATTAACTGACCCCCACTATATATTTGGCATTGAGATAAAAGCAGTAGGAGTAAGAAAAGTAAGACAGGCCCTTGGAAACTGGCATGGTGACCTGTGCCTGTAATCTCAGCCCTCAGGAGGCTGAGGCAGGAGAATTTCAAGTTTGTGGCCAGCCTGGGCTACATGGTAACCTGACTACATAGCAACACCTTGTCTCAAAAGAAGACACTGCCTTGGTTTTGAAGATGTGCAAATGGATAATTATAGTATGAAGGATATAGAGGCTGAAATAATCATGAGGTGATAGCATATAGGTGAAGCATTTGATTCAAAGTGAGGTGTCCAAAGTAGTGAGGAATCAGCCAAGGATTCCTATAATAATTCCTTTAAAAAATGGGAAGACAGATCACGAATTACTAACACTGGTCATTTCCAGGAAGACTTTCATTTTGAGTCATTTCTGTAGCATTTTAATTTTTTTTAACAAACGTGTTATACTTGTGTGCAAATGTACACACACGGGCGCGTGCGCGCGCGCGCACACGTGTGTGTGTGTGTGTGTGTGTGTGCGCGCACGTGTGTGTGTACTACTAGGATTGAACTCAGCATCTTCCCACTGAGTTATATCCCCAGACCCTTTTAGTCTTCATTTTAAGACAGGGTCTCACTAAATTGTTAATCTGTCCAGACTGGGCTCCAACTTGCTATCTTCCTGCCTCAGCCTTCTGGAGTGCTGGGATTACAGGCAGGCGCCACTATGTTTGGCTAGAAGATGTATTATACCTTAATGTAATTACGTTGAGTTTTGTCTTCTCACCTCATTTAATTTCTCTGTAATTTCTTCTTTTTCTTCTTGGATGCTCCTGAGCTCTACGTGTAGCTCACCTCTGGTCTCCTCTGTTTTCTGCAGCTGGACCTCTAGCTGAGTTTTCTTTTCCCACAAGGCTTCCCTGGTCCTCTCTGCCTCTGCCAGGTCCACCTGCAAAGTGCTTCTTGCCTGCTCCGCCACCTCCACCCTGCTGCACAAGGACTGGTTGTCCTGCTCCAACTACTGGCCAAAAAGGGAAAGGGGGACAGTGTATCAAAGATGAGTGGTTACAGTTTTCCTGTGCTGCCTCAAATGCTGAGACTGAAATCCAAGTAAGGTATGAATCCAGCCTCTAAAGATGACACAGGAGCACTTATAATAGAGGGGAAAATCCATTCATTTGATCTGTGCCTGTATTCTAGGTATGACATGGGCTGGACGCTGAGAATGGAGATTAAAAAAAAAAAAAGCAAAATCCTGTTCTCAGTGAATTCAAGAGTATCATACTATGAATCAGAAAAATGATACATAGTACACTTCTCAGACTCAAGAGAAGAGGGTTAGCAAGAGGGCCCCTCACTAAAATTATAAGTTAAATTTGTAAACTATAGAGAAGATATTTCGGGACTTAGACTTTTCAACAGATTCTTCTCTGGTGATTGCTAATATCTCACCCAACAGGATTAAAACTCCAGTCCCGCTTCCTCTTCCCAGACCTGACCACTTACCCCATGGCCCTAAATTGATTCTGCTGGAGGTGTGGGAGAGGAGTATTTCTTTCTTTTTTTTTTTTTTTTTTGGTACCGGGGATCGAACTCGGGTCCTTCTGCTTGTGAGGCAGGTGGAAGAACCACTGAGCTAAATCCCCGGCCCTGAGAGGAGTATTTCTAATTGTTCAATCCAATCCTTTGCTCTCCCCTGCACTGTAAATGCTGCTTTTGCTAATTTCAGAACTACATTAGGGACTCACCTGTTTTGGCCTGATCCTTCAAGGACTCTCCCCTGTTATAGGTATCAGCTTTGTCCCTCACTGGCTTACCCTCAGTCAGGGCCCAGCCCTATCCTGGGGATCAAACACATCATTGCTCACCTGGAGAAGCTGCTGGTTCAGCCCAACTTTATCCAAAGCCAAAGCCTCATTTAAGGCACTGAGCTTGACAGCTGCAGCCCGAAGATCAGCAACCTCTGCTTTCAGGCTGTTCTCAGAACCTGACAACTCTCCAATGGACTGTTCTGCCTATAAACAAAAAGGGTTAAAAAGTTTCCCATTTTCAGTTTTCCTGAAACAGTAAACAGTTCACATTCCCAACACCTGCTACTTTTTTCTTTTTCTTACAAAGATCAGCTAACATTTCATCCCTTCCCTTCTGTTCATGAGGAGTAAGACAGGAACTCACAGCATAGAGGTACAGACATAAGGATGCATAAACAACTACAACTGTAATGATGCCATAGAAAATGTAAACACAAAGTGCTCTGGGAACTCAAAGAAGGCATTAATTCAGTTTAGAGGAGTCAAAAATGCTTGGTAGAAGGGCTGATAATTAGGTTGGGTATTGAGAGATGAGGAACAGTTTGATGTTCAAAGAGGGAAGAAAAAAGTGGTCCTAGTAGAAAGAAAAGTATCTGAAATATTAGTCATGAAGGAACATGATATAACCGGGAATGCAATTAATGCTATGTGACAGGAGCAAAGGATATAAGGAGTTAGGAAGGGGTTTGGAGTGGGAGGCCAGAAATACACTTTGAAGCAGATGGCAAAGATCTTTGAATGTAGCACCAGAGCTGGCAAGCCACTGAATGGCTTTAAGAGACTGACTCAGCCAAATTTATACTTTAGAAAACTCATCTAATTTCAATATAGAGGTTATGTTGGGAGGAAGGGAACCAAAGTAGCAGACTAATAATTGAGGAAAGTTATAGGAGGGGTCTTGGTGTGAAGGGTAAAGAATGAGGGAGGCTGCATGCCCCTTTTATGGGAACAGAACTTTCTAAGCCACCCACCCAGCAAGTAAGGAGGAGGCCTACACACCCTGGCCAACGCTGCGGTCACTTCTGCTTGCTCTTGCCTCATTAACTCCCCTTCTAGGCGGCTTGACTCCAGGGCTTCCCGAAGCGTGATCAGTTCACTGAGTGATTCTGCCTGCTTGGCTTCCAGGCCCACCAGTGTCTCCTGACTGAGAAGGGAAGGGAGGGAGCTAGATGAAGTCTTTGGGAGTGGCCACATCCCCACAGGTAACAGGAATATAATGATTCCAGTAGGTAACAGGGATATAATTCCCTTTCCTACACAAAAGAATGAGGAAGGTCTTTAAAACTGATAAGGAATGACCTCGATTGACATAGGAAGTGAATAAAACAAAGAACAGTACAATATATTTAGTGCACTCGCTTTTATAGAAAAAAAATGAGAAAAAAAGAATTTAGGGTTATGTTTGCATAAAGTAGCACAGGAAAGTCAAGAAATTAATTTAAATGGTTACCTACAGAGAGAAGTAGGATGGAGAGAGGAAAGATGGGAGTGAGACTTTTCTGTGTGTACCTCTTTCTGTTTTGTTTTGTTTTTGTTTTTTTGTACCAGGGATCGAACGGGACCTTGCGCTTTCGAGGTGGTGGCAGCACCCCTGAGCTAAATCCCCGGCCCTGTGTTTATCTTTTTTAGTAGTTTTAACTTTTGAATCACATGACATTAAATTTTAAAACTATAATTATTTCTACAGATTGTCTGCCATTCCTCTTTGTACAGAGAGGGAGCCTCCCTAGCACAAGGCATGACACGGTAGCCTTCGAACTTCCACTGTTTGCCTCTCCTAGGCACAAGGAACTAGGAATACACCAAGGAGGGGAATATACCCAGGGTGAAGAAGAGATACCCCTACTACCAGCTGCTCAAGACCTATCATAGGCCAGGCTCTATGGTGGTATTTTCCAAGTTAAAGCTCTAATCTTTCCAACAACCCTTCAAGGTAAATAGTATTGTCCCCATTTTACAAACAAAATAATCTGCTCAAGTGGCAGATCGAGAATCTAAATCAAGCTTTTGCCTGACTCTAAAGTCCCTGCTTTTTACTGCAACATCACTTAGGGGAATTTATAGATCAGCCAGGGCCATTGACCCTGGATGTCCCTTCTTGGCCAGTTCATTGCCTATTACTTCCCAGTATTTCTGACCCTTTAGCAGTCCAGACTACTCTGAACTTACTGTGAACTTTCCTACCTCCATTTCTTTGCTATTCTGCTCTTTTGGCCCTTCTCCCACTCTTTACCAATCAAAATAGGTCAAAGCCTGACTCAAAGTATACCCTTTCCTCCATAAAGATATCCCTTGGCCCTCCATCATTAACTGTTACTCCTATGCTTCCAAAGGACCAAACTTGATGCTCTATTTAGCTCATACTTCATTTAGCCTCATATCACAGTTGTTTACTTTTTGTTTTCTTCATTAGACTGCACCCTCCTTATGATCAGGGCCCATGTCTCATTCCCTTATGTATTCCCACAGTATCTTGTCCCTGTAGGTACTTAGCAAAGTCTTGATGAACTTTTCTGTATTCATCCTTCTGCAAAAGAAGGAGCAGTAAGCTAACCTGAACCCACTTTCTAAGAGAGGGGAGTGGCTCGAGGACGCCATGGAATGGCAGGCCAGGCTCCTGCAAGGAGGGAAACTGGTCACACTCACAGACGCTCTCTCTCCCGGACAGCCAGATGCAACTCTTCCTGCTGCTCCTCCTTCTCCCCTTGGGCCGAGTCCCCCTGCAACTGCAGCTCCATGTTCACCCTCCGCAGTCGCCATGCCTCCTGCTCCAGAACCTCTAATTGCTGCTGCAGCTCTTCCCTGGTCTTCTGCAGGAGCTCTCGCTCTCTAGAAGGAGGGAACAAGAGATGAACAGGCCTTGGGACCTAAAATCCTTACTGGAAACAGGTGTCAGGATTAAAGGAGAGAAGTACTTGTTCTCTTTCAACATCCTATCTTTCCTTTTGCATGAGAAATGGTTTTTCATAATTTCAAAGAACCCAGAACCTAAAACCTTGTTCTGCACAAATAAGCAGAACTGAAAGAAAGCAACCTTGAGCAGCCCTGGGTGTCAGGGCAGCAAGAAGAGACAATCGATAACAATGAGACTGGGTCAATGACTGGTGGCGACTGTGACTGCAGGTGGACAGGAGGGATAAACTGCTTGCTAGCTCACTTGCTGAGGGAGTCCACCTCTGCCTGGAGGCCCACAGTCTCCCCTGCCAGTGTGTTCCGCTCGCCTGTGAGCAGCTGCAGCCGCTGTCTCAGGGTCTCGCCTTCTTCCTCCCACTGATAGTGCTGCTGCTGCAAGACACTCATAGCCTCTTGGCAGCCTGAAAGCTGCTGCCGTAGGTCCTATGGAGGGACAGCAATAGAAATGAGATGATGAGCAAAAGAGCAAGGCCAAAGGAGGGATTTCAGAAGCCTGAAACTAGGGCTGGACAAGGAGGGTGGGGCTGGTACAAGGGTAAGCTGAGGTTAGAGATATGACCAGTGGAGGAGTCAGAGGATCAGAGTTTATTGGGCTTCTGGAGTTCTAGTGTCTTAGAGTTGGTCATCTTCAAATGCAGAGTGGCATGGGGAATGGTAAGTATTCCTGGGTCCCTCAGAGTAGAGGAACACTTACCATACTCTCCCAGGGCTCTTTGCTATGCAAACACCACATGCAAAACAAAGCATGCCACTGGCACAGAAAATGTGCCTGTTACCCACAAATACAAGTGGGGCAGAGATTCTAATGGACAGTTTGAGATATCAACTGAACACCTCATAACTGGTCAGATGAAAGAGTCAGTCCAGGGGCACAAATGAGTTTAGAGACCCACCCTGTGGCTCAGAAGGAATGCTGGGGTTCTTACCTGCACAGCCTGTCGTCTCTGAGTCAGCACTGAACATACCAGAGTAACAGCCTTGTCTGGGTCCTGTGGATCAAACTGGCAAAAGAAGCCACTAGAGTCCAATTCCAAGGAGTTCTCTCGACCAGAGTCTTGGACCATACTGTCTTCTTCTACCAAAGCCTGAAACCCAAGAGAGTGGGGTCAACACCCTACTGACTAAGGCTAGAGTCCCCACAGGGAACTTGCACTACAGCCCAGGGGATCCTGCCTGAAGTTTTCCTTCTCAGGTCTTTTCCCTGGGGGCAGGGGCAGGTATCTGAGAGAAAAAAAGGCTGGTTCCTTTAACTATCCACTTCTGGTCATCTAAGTTTGGGACTAGCAACTAGGCTAGAATTCTCTACATGCCAGTAATTGTGGGGGTTTTGGCCAAGGAGTGAATGGTTAAACTGTGGGGCAAAAGCACACAAGTTCTATGAGAAACGAATGGTTAAACAACAAGAAGTTTAGATTATTGAAGCATGTTGTGTCTGGCCACTGTCCTTCCCCTTTCCCCAAGAAAAACTGTCGGCCTTGAGGCAGCTTCTTGCCCAAACTTTTTTTCTTTTGCTCTTTTCACTTACACTGACATTCTAAATAAAAGCTGGAAGGGCCGAGGATTTAGCTCAGTGGTGCCACACCTGCCTGGCAAGTGGAAGGTCCTCAGTTCGATCCCCCATACAAAAAAAAAAAAATCCAGGGCTGGGGATTTAGCCCAGTGGTTCCGCTGCCTGCCTGGCAAGCATAAGGTTCCAAGTTCGATCCCCGGTACCAAAAAAAGAAAAGGGGAAAAAAAAAAGCCAGCTTGAGGGGTTCTCCTGGGAGTGTCCCTAATGGTGGGAGCTTGGTTGAGATAGCCCCTCTAGGCCTCTTGGTGAGTGAACTAAGACTAATCTCTGAGTAATCATTCATCCTCTACAGTGTCATGGTAACACACTGTGACAAGTAATAAATGAGGAAATAAAGGAAGAAGAGGATAGCAAGTGACAAAGACCAGAATCCGGCCTGTGCCTGGAGAACTGCAGTTGGTATCAAGGAAAGGGCCTGTCCACCACACAGTACTTGGGCATGAATGCTTACCCGTGCCTTGGGATTCTGCTCTTGAAAACAAACTCAGAGAATCCATCCCCACAATTGCCTAAGCCCAAACCTCAGAGACTGGAAATCTAGACACCCTGAGAGGACAAAGCAGCCTGGGGAGAAGAGTGACGCATTATCCAGTTACCAAGGCAATGAGCTTACCAATACCTGGGTTATATTCTTGATCAACTGCTGCAAAGACAACTTCTCCTTTTGGGCATGCTTACTGAGAGATGCCTCATGTTCCATTAACTCTGTGTGATTTGTCTCCTACACAGGGAACAGAAAAGAGCCTAAGAGGGCCAGGGATTTAGCTCAGTGGTTCTGGCACCTGCCTCGAAAGCACAAGGTCCCAAGTTCGATCCCCGGTGCCAAGAAAAAAGAGCCTAAGAGCCAAACTCTTAAAAGAGAATGCGTAATTCCAGACCTCAAATCAACAAAATTCTCTTTGTCTATCTTGTTTTGTTTTTAGATAGGGTCAGATTGGCTTTGAACTCACTACGTAGCCCAGGCTGCCCTCGAATTCACAGCAATTCTGCCTCAGCCTCTTGAGTGCTGGGATTACAAGCATGCATGACCACCCCCAGCTCATTGTCTATCTTGTCAACTCCACTTTTCCAAGGAGTCTATAAAACAATGTGATATGATGATAAAAAGTTAGATTAAGTGCTTAAAAGTTTTAATAAACCTGCCTATTGGGGTTCTTGATCTATCACTCACTAGCTTGATCATCTTATGCAACTCCTTTGAACATTTCCCTTGAAAATAGGAATAATCAACAGGAACTACTTCACAAGTCTGTTTATAAGTTTACATGAAAAACTGGATGTAAACTATTCAACATAGTGCCAGCCTGAGCAAACACTCCAGCTGGGTGGTGGTCTATCCTGATTCCACACTGAGGGAGGCTCAGGAAGGAAGATCTGAAGACCCAACAGGACAACGTGATGAGACCCTGTCTCAATAAAAACTAAAAAGGTTTGGGGATGTGGGGATGTAGCTTGTAGTAGGGCACTCCTGGGTTCTCTCTCTGGTACTGCAAAAAAAAACAAAAACAAAAACAAATGCTGAAAACATGTGAGCTATTATTGGATAGGGGTGGCTAGAGTCTCTGAACAGTAAATTAATGTCTGAGATTTAAGGTTACTAAGAGAAACCTTCAGACTCAAATCTAAATGCACTTTGTTTTTGTTCTTGTTTTGGCAGTACTGGTGTTTGAACCTCCAGGAAAATGCTTTACCACTGAACTATATCCCCAGCACTAATCCCAAATCTAGAAATCATCTTGAAGACTCATGATTTCCTCTCATCCTTCCTACTGCATTTATGTTAGTGAAGCTTTGGAGACACAAACCTGCAGCTATGTTTTGTTTTGTTTTGTTTTTTTGGTACCAGGGATTGAACTCGGGACCTTGCGCTTGTGAGGCAGGCGCCGGAACCACTGAGCTAAATCCCCGATCCTGCAGCTATGTTTTGTTTGGCCTATACAAGATTTGAGCCAACATTTAAAAATTGAGAGTTTTTACATAAAAATCTGAATTTCTAGTTTCTTTCAGAAAGTTAACAAATGCCCCCATTTCTAGATGGTAACTATTTACTGAAGTTGAATCATGGATATCTCCTCAAGATGAGACGTTTATTCTTTTTTTAAGACAAGGTCTCACTAAGTTCCCCAGGGTGGGCTCAAATTCATGATCTTCCTGCCTCAGCCTTTTGAGTGCTGAAATTATAGGAGTGCACCACCGTGCTTGACTTGAGACACTTATTCTTCAGGGTCCTGCAGCCCTCCCATTCCTCACTGTTTCCTTAATGCTGAGCTCAAGTGTCCCCTGCAGTACTAAAAGCTAAACACAACAGCACTGGAAAACCAGAACTCTCACACCTCAGTCCATTTCCCTCATTTATATTAGATAAGCCCTGTGGATGTTTAATCTGACAAATTCCTGACAAAACAGAATAAAAAAGATACAAACAAGTCTAGCTCACAGCTGACTCTGGTTTGGATGAAATTGCGGGTGTGCACATATATAGGGGTTCAAGAGCTACCTAAGATCAGAGATGTGAAAATTCAAAGAGATGAAGAGAAACATGGAATGGAGCCAAAGATTCACAGAGCCAACCTTAAAGAATCTCTTTGGTAACATCCCTAGCAGAGGGTCAGTCAGTGACAAAACCTTTGCTCCTTCACAAGACAGACTATTCAAAGGGATAGCTCTAGTTGTGAGCTCAACTACTCCATAACTTCTAGCCCCTGACTTTGGTTTTGTCCTGGGAATAAACAATTCATCTTTCTTTTCCTCACTGTTAGACCTTCAGCTATGGGAAGGCAGCCATGGTTTCTTCCTCAGGTCCTTTCGGCTCCAGCCTAAACACTGCCATACTCCTCAGTTATTTCCCTCAGCTATTTCTCTCCATACTTCCCCTTCCTGGTAATATGCTATTGTGACAGCCTGTCTTTTCCCTCACCTCATCCTCTTTCTTTTATTTTTTGAGACAAGGTCTTGCTATATAGTACAGGCTGGCCTCAAACTGTCTCAACCTCCCAAGTGCTAGGATTACAGGTGTGTGCCACCATATCTGACAGTATGTCCCTTACTGTATACGCCACCTCTGATAAGGATATTATAATTTCCCCAAGAATACAGTTGGGATAGTGAACAATTAATATTGAATGAATAAATGAGTTAATTTTCAAATTCAGCCAAAGTATTTTTTCACTTTGAAGGATATCATCAAGGACCATTTAACTGGTCACTGCCCTCTGCCCTCAGACTACGGTATGTCCATAAAGGGCAAGGAACCTATAAGTCCCCTCCCAACTCCTCTCCAGAACACAGGATCATGTACCAGTATCTCCATTGTCTCTCTCAGAGCTTTTACCATCCTTTCATAATCTTCATTTTGCTTCTGAGACTGGGTCAGAAGAGCAGAGAGCTCAGTCACCCTAAAGAGAGGAACATAGCACTATTACCTGGACAGCCCACAGATGTGGACAGAGATATGATGCAACACTCCCCAGCCCCAACACAGATACTCCCAATGCAGCCCGACCCCTCGAATCCACTGGGCAACCCCAGCCCCTCTGCACGCCCTGCATACCACATGACACTATAGCCTTGAACTGGGGGGAAGCCAAAAGCCACTCAGACACATGCAGGGATTTACCACATCTCAAGGCTGGAACACGTGTTTGGGGGCCCAAGAGCTGAAGGAAAGCCCTGGCCCAGGCCCTTCCAGGCCTCGCTTGATCTTGAAGTCAAGCACCCTGAAGCCAATAAGAACATCAGAATTGCCACTTGGGATAGTCCCAAGGTCCCTCCTGCCCAAGGTTCTGACTCTGATAGGGAAAAGGGAGGAGTGATTTGGGAGAGAGTATGGTCAACCTCCCTGATGTTAATCTCTAAGCCCAGTGATACCTTTATCACTTAACATGGTATCTTGGAACTTTGTACCTGATGAGCAGGATAAACAAGTATTTCTTAAATGAATATCACCCAATAGATTAATGTCTTAAAATTTAAACTTGAAGTTTAAAGTTTTAAAAGTCTTAATAATTTTATTATGTATCATTTCCAAAAGCCTAAACTCACTCTAAAAACATTCATTGTGTCTTCTAGATGGCAGATGAAATACAAAGCACTAGAAATACAAAACTTACTAAGACATGGTCTGTCCTTGTGGCTCTCAGTGCCTCAAAAAAACAAAAAACAAAAAACAAAAATCAAAATAGTCCGGCAATGTATGTACACCATCAATGGGTAGAGACACAACCTTAAAACCATGGGATATTACCCTGAGAGTCAATGGGACTTTCTGCTATGTCCCTGCTCTTTCTAACATCATTTTAAAAAGCCTATTTTATTACAATCCCAAAATTAAAAGAGCTGGGCTGGGAATGTAGCTCAGTGGCAAAGTCCTTATATAGCATGGGCCTATGTTTGATTTCAGCTCTACATCAATAAGCAAACAACTAAATCAGCCTGTCACCACCAGTAATAACAACAAAAAGAAACTAAGTAATTAATGAGATCCATGCTGTAACAACCAGATAAAAAGACCACAGAAGCATCATAATGTAATAGGCTATTGAGGTCAGAGAAGGCTTCACAGATGAGATGACATGTGAGCTATGCCTTGAAGGATAAGGCAGAGAGAAGCAAGGGAGGCATTCCAGGCCAAGGTCTCCATGTACAAAGGCAGAGAAGCAGGAAGAGCTTGGCTCTTGGAGCAGTGAGTAGTCTGTTGTTGACAGAGGACAGTCATAGCTAACTATAAATTGACAAGAAAGAAACTGAGATGCAAGTTAGTTTGAAGGGAGAGGTCAGCAACAAGTCGCAACCACGGCACTGGATTTCTGACTTCCCCGGCAAGTCTCCTTCCCCTTTCATGTTGGGAGTGTTCTTGGTGTCTCTCTGGCTATCCCTAGCTCATTAGGGAAGTCAGCTTTCCCTCAGTGGATGCTTCCTGGGCCCTCAAGCCATCTCACCTGTCCTGAAGCTCAGCCTTCTCCAGTTCCCCTTGGCTCTTCAGCTGTATTAACTCCTGGCTCCTCTCATGAGCTTCCTTCTCCAGCTCCTGGGTCTTGGCTACTAGCAGCAGCAGCTGGGTTGGCTCACTCTCACCCATTCTCCCAGATCCACTGGATTCCCGAGACTGTGCCCCCACAGTCAAGCGCAGACAACAGGTTAGCAGGGATCCTGAAAGCTTTGCATGTTCAGCCTTTAGCTCCGTAAGATCTCTGAAGACAAGCAAGGAAAAGAGCAGACTCCAATAGGGATCAAGGAAGGGAGCATGGAGATCTGGCCCAATAAGCCTGAGGGGCAGATCTGGGAAAAAATCATCTGAAACCAATGCCAACTCTCCCCTTCTACCCCACCCCAACACCTGATCCCCCTACTTCAGTTCTGGACTTCTGCCTCAAGTTCAGAATCCATAGGGGCAATCCTCCTCCCTTCTTATCCCCGCACTGACCTGTCAGTAGCTGACTTCATTTCCAGGAAGTGGCGTCGGAAGGTCACCACCTCCCGCCACAGACTGAGAAGGCGACCATGTTCCCCTTTCAGATAGCCCTTGAAGAACTGTGTGTTCAGAAACCCAGGTCATACCCAAGGGCAGAGGACTACCTTTTACCCACACAAGAGTCTTGGATTTACTCCTGACTGCTTGGAGGGACTTTTAGGCAACAGTTCATGAATACATGTCTACATTCAGGTTATGCTGAAGGGTTAAATAAAGTTGGCAGTGGATTCAAGAGGTCAAAGGGCCCTAGATGGAAAGCAGTCTTCCTCTGGGTTAGATGAGAAAAGGATACACAGTAGTTGCTTAAATGGGAGCTATTACCACAGACTTACAAGGAGAATTAAGTGATCTAATATACGGAAGTCACCTAGCACAGAGCAAAGGCTCAGGAGACATTTGTTTCCTTTAGCTGGGATCTGAAAATTCCCCAGGTCTAGAACTGGTCTTTTTTCTCCATTCAATTTAGTATCTACCTCTTTAGCATCTAGATATACAGACTTCCAGATGAAAGGAGTTAATAAGCTTCTAGATCCATCTAAAACCTAAGCTGGTCACATTTGCAAAAGAGGCTTGCTTTGTGTCATGCCGCCTGCTAGCAAAGGAAGGGTAGACAGGCAATGGTAGAACTAAGATGGTTTAAGTTGGGCAAAGGTGATAGCACAGGCATGATTAATATGGGCAAAACTGTCAGCACCAATAAGGATGGTCAGAGACTTTAACAATGATTACTTAGTTTCCCTCTGAGTCCTGAAGTTAATCCTTCCAGGACTGACCAGGACAGTACCCAGGGTACACAGCCCTGCTCTGCTTACCTCCTGCTCCATCTGCCACTGGCTCTCCTTCCTCATTAGCTCATCCCGGGCCTGACTCCAGTCCACTGTCAATTTTTCCACATCTTCCCGAAGGGCTTTATTCACTACATCAGCTTTTTCCATATGAAGTCGAAGGTGGGTATTCACTTCTACTAGATTCTCACACCTGCACCGGGGAGGGTAAGAACAAGTCCAAAATAAAAGTCTGGTCCAATCCTTGGACCTCTTGGGAATAAGCTGACAATGACTAGATTTTTCCATTGCCAGGAATTATAGAGCTAAGACCAATGTCTATGGTTCTAATCCATGTTAACCCACAGGACCAAGGTTTCCCATCAGCCTTATCTACCAACTGGCCAATCATTTAGGTCAGAAGATGTGGGGTCCATCACCTCTGTTGCTCCTCGTCCAGTCTGTTTAGTAGCTGATCCAGGTTTGGCTCCTCCACACTTTCCCACCGCTGAGGGATCAGTCCCTTTGCCAGATAGAGACAAACCTTATTCACCTCCAAAGAGAACATCAGCCAGACCAATTCCCTGATGCCCTCTTCTACAGCAGCCCACTTTTTAAATTCTTTCTTCCGTTGGTCATCAATGTGTTTCATTTCTCAGTCACTATATCCACAAACCAAATCCACTGTAACTGCCTCTCCAAAAGTGAACCAATAATCTCTCCTGAAAGATGGTGAAGTGGTAAAAGAACCTTGCACCTAAGAAGCAATGGGCTTGATTTCTACTACATTACTTTCTGGGCTCTGGCAAGTACTTAGTTTCTACAGTGTCTTCAGTTACAAAATCCTGGCAGTATCATTCTCCTTAGAAGGATTTTTGCAGGCTAAGTGACACAGTTATATGACAATGCCTAACAGTGCCTGCCTGCATAAAACATGCTTAATGTATTTTAGTTCTTTCTTTCCTCTGAGATAATTTTTCTGAGGGGAATGGGAGAGAGTGTCTGAGAGAGCTGGAATTAAGGCAAATGGGTCTTCCAAAACCAGTGCTATACACAGCGAACAGCACCAACATAGCCCTCTGCCAGACCTGCGCTGCAGGCCCGCACAGGCACCCCTCCTCCACTACAGATAAACATCAACACCCACTGGAAGAAAGATGCACTTCTTCCCTCTAATTCCACATGCCCATTCTGGAAAGTCCCCTGAAGCTGCCTTGGTTCTTAAAGAGCCAAGGTTTGGAAGTTGACAGGCCAGTGATAGCTAGCTAGTCCAAGAAAGAACAGTGTTTCTAGAGCTCTCGGGGGCTGAAGAACGAGAGAATTCTATCAGACACCCCTTATCACATCCCAGCCTCCCTCAGGTTGCACAGGAAACCTAACAAGTGCATTCATGAGGGGAGTGGGGGAACACAGAGCACAACCTCACTCACTCCGGTGGCTTCCAGCCGCTTCTCCAGCTCTTGGCACCAGCTCCGGTACTGCAACACCTGTGGCAGAGAGCAGGCCCTTGGCAAAAGATACAGCTGGTACAGACAGCCTGAATGAAAGGCCCCTGGGGTCCTGGGCTAACCTGGCATGAACAGAGAACTGGGTGGTGACAGGGAGGGAAGGCCATATTTTAGAGTTTCTGTTTGGGTGTTTAAAGAATACTTTTGGTATGCCTCTTGTTTTGGAGGCAAAATCTGAAAATCTAGGATTGGGTCTTAGCTCTAGCCTCAGTCATCCCTACGCAACAAATTTAACCCTCACAAACATGATCTTTAAAAGGCACACACCTGCAATCCCAGTACTCAGGAGCCCAAGGCAGGAGGATCGCTGTGAATTCGAAGTCAGCCCAGACTACATAGTGAGCTCAAGACCAACCTGAACTACATACTCCATACCTCATAGAGTAGTTATGAGCATCCACAGAGAAGCTGTCTATAAAGCCAGACACTGTGGGTTCTTCCCTCTCCAGGCTAGGTGTAAGCCACTCTCGGCACGTGGCTCTGCCTCCTCCAGCCCTCATCTAACTCTGGGGGGCCCAGCTCTCATGGGTGTTCTCTTTTCCCCTCCCCAAGGGGGAAGCTGCCTCACCTTGGCCTGCAGCTTCCTCACGAGGGTTGCTTGCCTCTGCTGGGCCTCCTGGGAGTTCTTCAGCTTCCGCCAGGAGACTGCCTGGTTCTCTGCCATCTGATGCTGTAGTGCCAGCACTTGCTTTTCCAGCACCAGCTGCAGGGACTGGGGCTTCATGTTGTTCAACCCAGGACTTCCTGTCTCCATGAGGGCACCAGATAGCAAGCCCACAGGTCCCTATGCAGTCAGAAGCTGCTTGCTCCCTTGGGGTCTCTAACCATTGTGGTACTCCCGCCTCCTCTTGAGCTGGGAACCAAAATACATACAGAACTGAAGGACTGTCCAGGTGACTCAAATCTATTCAGCAAACGTGTATTAAGTCTGGCAAACCTGGGCTGGACAAAGTAAATAGGTTCCTTTATTTCAGGACTACTCAGACCCTTTTAAATACTAATATGGGTCCTAATCTATCTCTAAAGGGGGCATGCTGAACATCAGTTCCTAAATGACCATGAAACAAGATCACAAGACCAGTGTTTCCTAGCATTCCTTTGGAACTCAGTGTTAAACCCAGAGCTCCTGATTTATCATCTCATCCCAAGTATCTGCCAGAGGGACAGACATTTGTTGACTGAATCACTGAAGGTGCTGTTAGTCCAGCAGAGAAAACAGACACAGGGCCAGGGATGTAGCTCAGCAGTGTAGGATCTGCCTGGTAAGCATGAGGTCCTGAGTTTGAGTCCCAGTACCAAATAAGTAAATAAATAAAAGGAAGAAAGAAAAGAAAACAGACACAAAGAATACAATGTGGCATGTGCAATAACAGAAACATGCAAAGATGGCATGAGAAAACAGAGGAAGGGCACTTCACCCAGAGTGGGGCCTATAAAATGTGTGAAATCATCATCAATACTTACTGAGTGCTTCTATGGGTTGGTCACTTTGTTATGAGCCTTACATGCATTGTCGTTTTGTCTTCAAAAGAATCTTTTTTTTTTTTTGGTACCAGGGGTTGAACTCGAGTCCTTGCGCTAGCAAGGTAGGTGTAACTACTGAGCTAAATCCCCGGGCCCTGAAAAATCTTTTTTTGTTGGGTGATGGTGGTGGTGGTACTGGGTTTTGAACCCAGGGGTGATTTATCACTGAGCTACATCCCCAGCCCTTTTAATTTTGAGACAGGGTCTCACTAAATTGCCCAGGCTGACCTTGAACTTGCCATCCTCTTGCCTCAGCCTTCTGAGTAACTCGGGTTACAGGCATGCGCTCTTGCATTTTATCATTTGTCTATCTTCTCTACTAATCTGTTAATGCCTTAAAGGCACGAGCTGTCTAATACATCCTAGCTGCTATCAAGTTGTCAGCAATGCACAATGAAGAACTACATGTGTGGCCCACACAATGATTGTGAATAATTCAAATTAGGTGCCAACATTTATAATTGTGAGAATACACATAAAAATTCCTATTTCTGGCTCCTTTGGAAAATCAGAGTATGTACTGACCCTTGACTCATATTCCCACAAGGGACAACCAACTGCAGCTGAACAGTGTCTGCCCCTTTAGACAGGGAATATGCTCTCCAGCTCACGACAGCTCCCCTCCCCATCAGCTGTTCTCTCCCTCACATTGACAGCAGACTTCAGTTTTCATGTATCATTGTACTTGAACTACTGTTTTTCTTTTTCTTTTTTCCCCCTAGTACTGGGGAGTGAATCCAGAACCTTCACATTAAGCTATATCCCCAGCCCTTTTTATATTTTATTTCAAAACAAGGTCTTGCTAAGTCACTAAGATGCCCAGTCTGGGCTTGAACTTGTGATCCTCCTGCCTCAGCCTCCCAGGATTACAGGATCCTAGCATGCCTACATATTATTTTTCTTATAATAGAGTCTTTCTTATAATAGAGTCACAGAGGGAAACTCCGTTTTCTAACTTACACTACCTCCTGAGCAACTGAAGGTACCTGAGTCTGTGAGGCCTGTCCTGGGCAGTAAAGAATAAAGCAGAAAGAGCCGACTGGCACCTATAAAGGCCTGGTGGCACCCATGTCCCAGGCTGGGGTAATACAACCTTTCCCCATACTATAAACATCTTTTTCTGCCCTTGCTTTCTACCAGGGCTGTATAATCTGGTCCTGTGAAATGCTGCTCGGCTGAGTTCAATGGAGCTCAATCCCTCTGGGTGGGATGGAGACAGACCTTCCAGGACACTGCTCTGTCACCCAGGATTTTTGCCAGCAGTCTACCAACAAGAGCAGATCTGAGTTGTTTCAAAGGAACTGAGGCTCCTTTTCTGTTCTAACACTGTGAGGGTTGAGCCAGGCTTTTCCACATAAGGAGTTTCAGAGGCCCCAGAGGCTCTTTAGTCCTTCTTTGGTTTTGTTTTGGTTTTTTTGTGTGTGTGTGCCAGGGATTGAATTCAGGACCTTACACTTGCAAGGCAGGCACAGTGCAGCTGAGCTAAATCCCCGGCCCTTTAGTCTTTCTTTGAATCACTATCCCAAAATATTAGATTGAACCACACGGAATCATGAATATTTGCCTACTATTTTTAACCCACAAAAATGGCAATTTCATATACTTCAAACTAATGTCTCAATAAGCTGCCACATAAACAGTACCAAGAATTCTCATTAAATCTGTTTTTGGGATAAGGCTGCCAGAAATATGCAAACATTATATGAGAAAGTGATTATCAGTAATACTTCAGAAAAGAAATGGAATTATATTAGAATTATATAATTATTTTACTTTAGCAGATAACTTTATTTTTTATGTATTTTACTCTCCATACAGGTGCTTGTCATGAGGAACTATTCCTTAGCCCACATACCGCTGTTTCACAGTTCAGGAACACAGATCTACAAAATGTCTATGGAACTCAATCCAAAGAAACCTTTTTACTCCTATATCACTTTGCACGGTGAAAGATACCAGCCTTCCTTATTTCTTCATAATCTTTAATGGAATCAGTTTCTGGAGAAATCTTCGTACACCTTCTTAGTTTAGCCACACCAAACTTACAGAGAGCTGCAACCCCCAGGGAAACAATGAATGCTTTAATAATATGAACTCGCAGATGCCTGGCCAGAAGACCCTGCATCTTGGGAACTCACGGTAGTCACTGTCCTCAACACAAGTATCCTTTACGGCTGACAGAAAAATAGCAAATAGGGCCAGGGATTTAGCTCAGTGGTTCTGCTGCCTGCCTCGAAAGCGCAAGGTCCCGAGTTTGATCCCCAGTACCAGAAAAAAAAGAAAAATAGCAGATGATTTAAAATTTTTAGAGCTATTTAGAAATTTAGTACAACCCTCTCATTTTGGGGGGGGGTACTGGGGGTTGAACTCGGGACCTTGCATTTTCGAGGCAGGCATCAGAACCACTGAACTAAAAACCCCGGCCCTACAACCCTCTCATTTTAGAGATAAGGAAACAGTCTCACAGAGATGAAGTCATGTTACTTTGTTCATATTTTATTTATATGTCCTATTTAACTCAAAAAATAATTTAAGCTCCTACCCTGGGAGGCTGAAGCAGGAGAACTGTTCCAGCCTAGTCTGGGCAATTTAGGCACTTAGTGAGACCTTATCTTAAAATAAAACATAAAAAAGGGGATGCTGGGGATGTAGCTCAGTGTGAAGATCCCCAGCTTAATCTTAGTACCATGAAAACAGAAAATCAAAACACCCCCCCCTAAATTATGGCAAATATGCCATATTACCATAAGATAAAATTGGGTGGAGGGTATATAGGAACTCTGTACTGTGCAATTTTTCTGTAAATCTAAAATTGTTCTAAAAATTAATTTTTTTTTCGGGTACCAGGGATTGAACTCAGGTCCTTGCGCTTGCGCAGCAGGCGGTGAAACCACTGAGCTAAATCCCTGGCCCCTAAAAATTAATTTTAAAGTGATTTGAAGTTTTATGATTTAAAAAAATCCCCATAAGGTTGTAGCTTAGCAGTACAGTTGCATGCATAAGGCCTTGGGCTCAATCCCCAGCAACACACATGCACACACGCACACACATGTCTGTGCCCACTCATAAATTTGGTTTTTTTTGTTTTTCTTTTTGTCTTTTTGGTATTGAGGATTGAACTCAGGACCTTGTACTTTCAAGGCAGGCAGTGGAACCACTGAGCTAAATCCCCGGCCCAGCCCCGACCCATAAATTTGAAATTCGCCACAACAAGAAAAGAAAGAGATTTTATCAGGGAACTTTCTGAAATTGAGATTTAGTTCTGAGTTTTCTCAAGACACAGCTTGGCACTCTTTTTTACTGAATAGAGTGGGAAAAGATTCACTTCTTTCACACATTAATTTATCCTATAAATACTCATGAATTCCAACTCAGTATCAGGAGTATGCCACACTGGTACAAAAATGAACAAGACTTACTTCCTCCTTTTCTAGGAATCAGACTGGGAAAGGCAGCAACCTCAATGAAGCCAAGGAGCCACCTATGCCCTTAGGGTAAAAAGAGGTTGAACAGTGATAGAAATAATGTATTTAGCCCTCCATCATATAAAATACTGCAAAACTAATCCAGCACTCTGGGAGGCTGAAGCTGGGGGATCACAAGTTTCAGCCCAACCTGGGTAACTTAGTAACTTAGGAAGAACCTGTCTCAAAATAAAAAATAAAAATAAATAAGGGGGCCAGGGATTTAGCTCAGTGGCACTGCACCTGCCTCAGAAGCGCAAGGTCCTGAGTCCGATCCTTGGTACCGCAAAAAAAAAAAAAAAAAAAAAAGGGGCTAGGGATGTAGCTCAGTGTGAAGGCCGTTGGTTCAACCCCCAAAAAGCCCATCACCAAAACCTCCAAAAGGAGTATTTAAATAAAGTTTAAAACAATCGTGGTGGGGCACGCCTGTGATCCCAGCACTCAAGAGGCAGGAGGAATGCTGTAGTACAAGGCCAGCCTGAACCACATAAGCCTGAACCCTGTCTAAAAAAAAAGAATAAAGTTTTAAGAAGGAGCAATTCCACCTAACCTTGGAATAGAGGTGTGAATGCTATAGCACTAAGACACTGACTGGTATTAAGTACGAGTTGGCACTTAGAGCACAAAAAGGAAAAATACTTGAGAATGCAAACATTTTATTTCCTGAGCCAAGCCACTCTCTCTCGTTTGCTCTGTTGGCTTTAAGGTACACCCACAAACACTTTGATACTCCTTCCTTCAAGAGGTGGAGCCTAAATCAGCTCCATGGAACCTGTAATCCCAGCAGGCTGGGAAGCTGAGGCAGGAGGGTAGTAGGTTCAAGCCCAGTCTTGGCTACTTAATGACTTACCAAAGCCCTATCTCAAAATAAAAAATAAAAGAGGGACTGGGGATATAGCTCAGTGCAAAGGCCTTGCTTGAGTTTAACCTTCTCTGTCGGATGGGGGGGACTCTAATTCTCTCCCCTGAGTGTGGGCTACAATCAAGTAGAATTGACTTCTGAGGCAAGATCATAAGCTGTTCTATGGCTCCCTGCTTGCTTGCTCTGTCTCTTTCTCTCTGCCTCTCTATAATCTTTCTGGCAGAAGCCACCTGCTCTGTTCTGAAGACAGAAAGGCATCCTATGAAGAGGTGCAGAGCTCAGGAATTGGGGCCTTCAGCCAACAGACCTGTAAGTGCACCATCTTGGAAGCAGATCTCCCAGACTCAGTTAAAGTCTTCAAATCACTGCAGGCCCAGCTGCCGGCCTGACTGTAGCCTAATGAGAGATCCTAAGCCAGACAAGCTAGCTAATCCACTCCTGGATTTCTGATCTGTGACAAATATGTAAGATAATAAATGATTTCTTTAAACTGCTAAATTTTGGGGTCATTTCTTGCATAGCAACAGATAGCTGATATGTCTGATTACTACAAACACTTCCTAGACAGTAGTATGCCTCTTAAATTGTTTTTTCTCAACAGAGTAGTCAGAGGACGCTTTAAATACATAAAACAGATGATGCCATTCAGAACCCTCTAGCCAAGTCCTTATAAAGACCTACAGGGTCCTAATTATTCAATCCCAGACCCCAACCATTTTAATGCCACCTCCTATTCCTCTTCCCTTTGCTCACATCCCTCCAGCTACAAAGCCCTCATTGCTGTGTAGATGTAAAACACACTATGCCTCCATCAGTGTCAGGGTCTCCTCCCTCAGTTATCTTCATTATCTGCACCCTCACGACTCTCAGCTCTGTTGAACTGTCACCTCAGTAAGCTACCTCTTAACCATCCATCTAAAATAACCAACACTGCTTCGCACACACTGCTGTTTCTACTTAACTTGCCGTGTTTTATCTGTCCCTATTATGTGTAATAATCTACCAGATTGTAAATTCCACCATTACAAAAACATTGTTTTATTGAATGCTGTATTCCTAGCTCCTACAACAGTGCCTGGTATTTGACAGGTGTTCTTTATTTAAGTGACTGAATGGCTGATATAAGGACAATAAGTAATATGATCCATATTATAAAAAAAAATCATGTACAGTTGTACAGTACTTTGCTCTCAAAATTACTTGCAATCTTCATTTTAAAAAAAACTTTAGAGATAAGATTGTCCTCATTTTACAATTAAGAAAAGCAAGGTCCCCAAAAAGAGACATAACTGGTCAGTGGCAGAGACTGAACCCCCAATCTGACTCCAAATTCTATGCTCTCTCCATTATATTGGCTGCTTTCTCCACTCTGAAACCACAGCTCACCTCCGAAAAGTTGTGAAATAGTGACCTCAAGGCCTACAGTTTTCTGGAAGAAAAGGAGCAAAGAAAGGTAGAAAGTAACACAGGGCTCAGCAGTAGAACAATCCCTGTTCTAGCCTTGATTTTGTCATGAACTCTATCAATTTGGGAACATCAATTCTCTCTAAGCCTTCTCAGTAAACCGTACATCACAATCCTGGCCTCTAACTCACGGGGCTAATGTACAAATCAATTCTACAGCCACTTACCAAATCCAAAGGCAATTTAGCCAAGTTATTACACGTCCTGGGGACAGTTTCCAGCTCCACTCACTCATTAGTTATGCGACTGTCACAGTACTTTATCTGTGAGTGCCTCAATTTCATTTGTAAAATGTGAAGAGACAACCCACCTCAGAGATCACTGTAAAGATTATATAGACCTTTGGTTGGTTGGATTCGTTTAGTGCTCCCTAACGTTTCGCGACTATTCAGTAAATATTAGCTACCATTATTAGCAATGTGCTAGACCGTGAGATATGATTTTAAAAGCAAGATATAAAGTCTAACAATCGAATCCCGGGTAGGAAAGAGCGGCAGGAAAAGTGGGTGCCATGGGCGCAAAAGTAGGAAAATGAGGTTGGCTGCGTCCGGGTAGGGGGTTTAGAAAGGTTCCCGAGGAGTGATCTGAGTTGGGTCCTTAAGCATCAGAGTTCCAGGGTGGGCGGCGGGATGTCAGGTGAGACTGAGCCTTCGGACAGATCCCGTGCAAAGCCGCAGGGGCTCAGGGAATTGCTAAGCTCTGGGCTCACAGTGCAAATGGGCAGGAGAGTGCAGCGCCGCCTCCGGACAGCCTGGGCTGTCGGCTGTTGGACAGGAGGGTAGGGAAGTTGTCTTTCGGCTCGGACTGGAGCGCAGAGGGGTGGGGGCAGCAGGAAGCTGGGGGAGGCCGGCTGAGGGCCCTAGGACGCGTCCCAGCCCGTCTGTGGGCCTCGTGTTCCTCCCGGGAATCGCAAGGCCGGTGCCCAAACGGGATCCCCGGGGGCGCCCCAAGCGGGCAGTTCCTTGGGCCTCGGACCGTTAACTCAGGCACCTCCCGCCTGCCCCTGAGCCCCAGCTCACCGCGATCAGCTCCCGCGGATTCCTGGGGAGTTCCTCATCCTGGGGGAGACAACAGCAGCCGTAAACCCGGACCCGGGGCTGGAGCCCGCTGCAAGGATGGCTCCCAGACCCTGCCCCCAAACTCCCGCCCTTTGGGGTCCCGCCCACCGGGTACCGCGCCTATAGGGCCTTCCCCATGGAAGGCCTTCCGCCATGTTGGGTACTGGCAACCGACTTACTCTAGGGGCCCAAAAGGGAAAGGAGGATTAAATTTAGATATAGTATCCCTGGACAAAATGAAGACATCCATAGTCTCTGGATTCAAAAATGAAACGTTTTGAGAACAGGAAAAACTAGCCCTCAATCATCACCCTTTTGACTTCAGCGTTACATACTGCGCATGCGTGAAAAAAAAAAAATCACCTGGTTCTGGGTGCGCCTGCGCACTGCTACGCTCCCAAACCGATTACTGCTGCGTGAAATTTAAGGGAACTTGCTTAGATGAAACCTGCAGACTACCAATTTCAGAGTTTTCTCACCTTCGGACCCTGGTGCTCCAGGCAGCCTTTACGCAACACAAACACAAGATAGTTACTTAATCTCCTTTGGAATACTCAGCACTTTGTTTCATCTACATACCTTTGTGCATTGTTACCTTTGCTTGAATGGCCTCAATAACAAGGCCTGGTACAAAATAGGTACCGGGTAGGTTAGAGTGAATTAATGGATGGGTGAATGCATAGCAGGAGTGAAACAGTCAAGCCTTTAAGACTCAGTCCAAAGGAAACCTGAGAAGTGAAGACTTTGTTAGGAACTATATCTTTCTCATGTGAAAACACAAAAAGTTCTCAATACCTAGTTTGAGAAAAAGAAAACACAAGTGGGAAATGGGGGCGGTACTCATTCTGAAAAGTAAACTACCCAGATGCAAAGAATTAGCTTCGAGGAATCCACCTTAGAGAAATAAGCCAACAATAAGACCTGTGCAAGAATGTTCCCTGCTACAGTATTTGGAATGAAGAAAAACAACCAAAATATTAAAACACCAAACTTGTGTTTGTTTCTTTGTTTTTAAGACAGGATCACACTATGTAGTTCAGGCTGTCCTTGAACTCACTATGTAACCCAGGCTGGCCTTGAACTCGTAGAGATTCTCCTGCCTTAGTCTCCCAAGTGCTGGGACTACAGTCGCGTGCCACCACTCCTGGCTGCAAATATTTATTGAACATCTATTGTGTTCTATTATTGGATAATAACAATATATCAACAGCAAGCTGGAAAGTATTAAAACAATAAAGTGTTATAACAGGATTTTCTGGAAGAAACTAGGAAGCGGAATTGTTGATGTGGGAAAGTGAGAGGTCCTCTAGACTCAGAGACTACATCAACTTCCAAAAGTCCTGCAGAGTGCCAGGATATTCGGGACATATAAACAATTATTCATACACATCATTTGTTATCTTTGATGTCCAAGAGCCCTATGGGGAGAGACTTAGCCCAGACACAATTAGAGTATTCAGACTTGTCCAGTGAACCAGACTAGAGGGAATCCACCCAACAAGGCTGGGATGAGAGAGGCAATGGATCTGCTGAAAGAAAACCAATCCTAGGCCCCTCCAGGTGAACTGGGCTTCTTCCTTTATTCCTTAAATACACCTCTGGGAATGTGCCTTTTACCTGAAACCACTTGGAGGGGTCCAATATGGATCCTACACCCCAGCTTTGCTCATTATTATTTTTTGTTTTTTTGGTACTGGGGATCGAACTCAGGTCCCTGCGCTTGTGCAGCAGGCGGCGAAACCACTGAGCTAAATCCCTGGCCCCATGCTCCTTATTTTATATTCCTCCTAATCCGTGCCAAAAGGTAGCCTAGATTGCCTTTCTTTTTTTAAATTGACTTTCTTTTTAAAAAATTATATATGTGAAATTTAGAGCTGGGGATTTAGCTCAGTGGTTCTGCCACCTGCCTCACAAGCGCAAGGTCCTGAGTTCAATCCCTGGTTTCAAAAAGAAATTAGCACATTTTCCCTAGTAGCCTAAAATATGCTTTAAATTTTTTTTTTTTGGTACTGGGGATTGAACTTGGGACCTTGTGCCTGCGAGGCAGGCAACAGAACCACTGAGCTAAATCCCTGGCCCTGCTTTAAAATTCTTAAAGCCCTTCTCTATTGCAAAAATGTAGGGCCATCAAGAGAGTGGAGGACAGAGAATTTGTACCACAATATTTCTGGCTGTAAGTCCCCACCCTTCCTAGTGGAAGACTGAAGGGCAACTACCTTTAACTACTCCAGCCAAGTCATTGGGGTAGGGGGCTTCCATGAGGGTTTGAGGTGTTGAACCTCTCACTGTTGCAGTTGGGGAACATGGTGATTGGGATCTGCTTCCTACCTGGGAAACCCATCAACAAGAGATAATACACACCTGCTGACTGCTTTGGTGGCAGACCCAGGAGAGTACAGTAGTGCTCTGTTGGGGTTGGCCTACTGTCCCAGAATTGGTCAGGGAGTATTTTCTGGAGGGTGGATGTGGGCTAAATGAGAGGGTAAGAAAGCCTGCATAGGCCCATCATAAGTCGTGCTCAGCAGGGCTCCTAGAGGGGTAAAGGGAATAAGAAGCTAGACAAAAAAAAAAAGAAGCTAGACAAATGATCACTGGTAATAGTGATGTCTTTTGCTAAGGGAACTATAGGAGAGGAGCCCAGCAGGGAACCTCTGAAGAGATACTAAAAGCACCCCATGTCTTTTTTTTATGACAGACAGAAACGTTGTTAGACATCTGTGAGAGCAAGAAGGCACAGAACCAACTGCAATAGATTTTCTGCATCTTCCTTGCCATTTCAACACCTTGAGTGGCTGAAATGTGCTGAGGATGGCCGAAGGGACAATGAAATTAAAAACCCAACCTTTTCCCTGTGGCTTCAAACTAACAATCTGAAGCAGAGCTGGGGCCGCCAAAAAGTACAGTTTCTTTTAGTAGATTGTAAACAACTTGCTGCTGTCCATCTGTGTCTATCCATTCACCACTAAACACGTATTGACTGAGCAATCATGTGCCAAATCCTGACCCAGACACTGAGGAGAGCCCAAAGAACAATTAATACATAGATTCTTTCTACAGCCTTAGTTCACAGACTCACATGGGAGGCAGGTAAAGAAACAAATATTTCACACACATACAATATGTCCTGTAGAGAGGAGCTGGCTTCACAAGAGCAGACATTGTACTTTGATTGTGAAGGATAAAGGTGTTGAGCAGGCAAAGCAGGAGGGCATTCCAAGCAGTGTGTACACAGTTGCATCCAACGGCATGGGATGCTTGGGAAATGCCAGGGATTTCCTCTGGGACCTCTTCTTGGTAATTCCACCAGTTGCTTGGATTTTGTGATTCTCCTTGCACTGGATAGTTAGACAACAAGACAATCCCCTCTGTCAGCTAGATGTTTTCTCCTTGCTCCTGACCCTGCGTCAGTGGGTCCAGTCCCAGTCCCTTCCCACCAACCCAGGGAGGCTCTGAGTGACCACCAGCCTGACACTTTTTGAGGGAAGTAGTCTCTTTTCAGAGCTTGGCCAATAAATGATGGTTGGTTACAGCTCTCACAGGACCAGTCTTTTCCTCTTAAACATGGGCCCTTAGGGGGCTGGGGATTTAGCTCAGTGGCACTGTGCCTGCCTCGCAACTGCAAGGTCCTAAGTTTGATCCCCAGTATACAAAAGAAAAAAAGGGCCCTTAGTTTTATTCAAACCTGAGAATTTAGCTGCTGCCTCATGTGACAAGCAACTAAGTGCTGAGGTTATGGACAGGAACCAGGCAGAGGAAAAGCAGAAAGAACGCTGAACTTTTGTCAGACATACTGACCTAGGTTTGAATTCTGGGTTTAGCCTTGTGTCCTTTAGCAAACTGCTTCCCCTCTCTGGGATTCCCATTCCTTAGCTGGAAAATAGGGGTAAAAATCCATACCTACTAGGGTTCTTATATGCAAAATGGGAGATGGAATTAGATGGAGGAAGGGAGGAATGGAGGTTTCTGAGCTCAAGAATGACGAGGTTTCCAGGTCTTTAACTGGTTACCACTGAGAAGAGATTGGAGTGGGTAGAAAGAGTGTGATTTTTCTTTTTTAATTCTATAAATTTTGGTAAGAGAGAATAGGGAGGGTGAGTATGATCAAAACACATTATATGCATGTATGAACATGCATAATGAGACCCATTATTTTGTATAATTACAATGAACTAATATCTATAATAATTAAAAGAATGTAAGTGAAAAATATGTGGCTCTTTTGCTCTCACATCCCCACCTGGAACAGACAGAAACACACACAATTTCTAGTCCCGATTGTAGTACTGTACCATACTTGCAGCCTGGCAGGAGGGATTTACCCAAGAGGCTCACTCTAACAAGGTGCAGTTCTCAAGGAGTTCAGCAGGGGGAGTCATTGGGAGCTTGCTTTGAGCAATAGCTGCTCCTGAGGAGTTTGAAGACAGAAACCAGGTGGTTGGAGTGAGCATGACCAGAGGTGGCTGTGCTCTTGCCAGAGCCCTCTAGGCTTCCCCAGGTGAGGACAGCCGAGGCACCACAGATTAAAAGCAGTACAGATGAGGCTGGGGATTTAGCTCAGTGGTTCCGCCGCCTGCCTTGCAAGCGCAAGTTCCCAAGTTCGATCCCTGGTACCAAAAAAAAAGAGAAAGAACAGCACAGGTGGAAGGTTAGGCACTCTGGGCTCAACGCCCAGCCACCCACTGCCTGTCAGCTGGCTGTTCATTCCTCCTTTGCTATGGGAAGACCCACGGATTCAGAGACAGGAGCCTGGGTTCAGTCCTACCTGTGTCATTTCCTACTTATGTGACCTTGTACCTGTCACTTAATTTCTCTGACACTCAATTTTCCCATTTATGAAATGGGGGCAATATTAACAATGCAATTTTTTTAAAAAAGCAATGATATTTGGAGCACCTACTATATGCTAGTCATGGAAAGAAAGATGCTTTACATATGAAAATATGTTTAGTTCTTATAACTGTTCAGTGAAGCATGTATTTGTATTATAATTTTTTGAGTAAAGAAACATTCGTGCCAGGCATGGTGGTACACATCTCCAGCTCTCTGGGGGGGCTGAGGGAAGAGGATAGTAAGTTTGAGTCCAGTCTGGGCAATTTA